TAGATGGGTAGGACTCATTCAAAACAAGGTTGGCCTCTATGTTTGGGTTTGGTAAATTTGGCTCTATCTTATTTATATCCGCGAAGAAGCACTACATCTGTGGAGCCTGGCATCTACGGTTTTGAGGTGATTGTTTTTCGAGGGTCATAATGCTGGCCATGAAGATTTTGATTACAGTTGTGATGTTGATTTTGCTGCACCACATATTTTGCAGCGTCAGGTATGCTGCGTCAAGACCACTGAAAACACCACTTCCCAAGACTGAGACCATTGGAAACACCCCATGGCCCGTACCTGTCAAGTGAAGCACAACAACGAGAAAAGCTCCAGCGCCCCTGCGATCCGGGAACAACGCATTGACGTGGCCAAAGCAAAGCAACCTCCCAAGCCCTCAGAAGGAACCCCTCACACCAATGTAGACCCGAAGTCATCAGACCAAGGCATTTTTAACAGTACTAAACCGCAAACTCGCACACCTAAAGCCGAAACCTTGACAGTGAACCCGAACCTGAACCCCAGACCTTTCATCTTGAACCCTAAAGCCCGTATCTGACTCTAAAACCCAACCCCAAAGTCCCAGAAGCCCTAGGTAGTTGTAAAGATCTCTAAACTAAACCCCTAAACCCCTACACCCCTGACTCCCTTTCCTTACACCCTAAACCCTGACTCCTAACACCCCAAACCCCCTAAACCCTACACCCTAAACCCCCTAAATCCCCTAAACCCCCTAAACCCTAAGGCCGCAAGGAGCTTTGCCCTCGAAGCCTCTCCGAGGCAACCGGGCCAGCGGCCATCGGCCGCCGTGCCATCGCCCCAAAGGCTGGTGCTTTAGGGTTTTTAGGGTTTGGTTCTTTTTAGGGTTTTTAGGGTTTGGTTCTTTCCGTTTTTTGTTTCGGTGAGGGTTTGGGGTTCAGGGTTCAGGATTCTAAATGGGCTCTTCTTTCGTCAAGGGGGGGTTTAGGGCTTGAGGGTTCGGGGCTTCAGGAGTTTTGAGAACTTGAGGGCATCCGAGTTTGAAATTGAGGGTTTCAGGGATTCGTTGAATGGTTGTCAGTTCGCTGCAGCTCGTGGCCCGAAACACTAAAAACTGTAGGGGTTTAGGGGTTTTGGGTTTAGGGTTTACTCCAATCACCATTGTTCTTATCTCGGAAAGTTCAGCCCCTATATTCCAAACTCTGAAACCCTGTCAACACACTAAACCCTGTAAACTCCAAAGCCTTTAAGCTGCTACAAGACCTGAACCGGTGAAGCTTCTAACTCAGTGGGGGTGGGGAGGATGCCATTCCTTTTCAGCTCTCGGATTTAAGGTTCCGGGTTTAGAGGGCTTAGAGTGCAGCTGCGTGGAGTCTACCTCTTCTCTGAGGTCTTGCTTGGTGGCGTGTCTGGAATGAACATGTTCCGAGCCGAAGAAGGAATCGGCTGCAGCAGACTCGCGCTTCGTCCCCACAAACCCTGCAAGCCGAAATTCAACACCTGTAAACCCAAGAATGTCCAGCCTGCTACCCTGGCTGACTTGGTGGTTCTCTCCTCTTGTGTATCCGTTTGTGTCCATACGTACATGAACTCAAGTTGCGATCCATCTATCTGGCATTGTATGTATGTACGCACGTATGTGTGTATACATGTATCTACGTATACACACGTGCAAGTTACGTGCACATACAGCTGTACCCTTTCCGGTGTAATACACACATGCAATGCAGAGGAAAAAACGCAAACACATACATGTGCACGGCCGTGTACATACATGCATGCAGCATCGTCAAGATCGGCCCATACATGAGGACATGCTTATCAATTTACAATCACACATACATACTCATATGCCCACACATGCTTTGTGTGGTGTGATATGGTATGGCCTGGTCTGGTCTGGCATGTCTGGGCTTTTATGTTTCGCGTGTCTTGTCTTGCCTGGTCTGGTCTGAGCATATCTGGTCTGGTCTGGTCTGGCATGGTACGGTTCGCATGGTGTATGTTATGAACGCGCGCGCGCACAATAGTTATATATGCAAGACACAACCAACGGTGAGCAGCGAATGCAGGTTTACATACAGATATTCCTTGATGAGGTAACATGGCGTTGTTGATAACACAAATGTTGCGTCAAGGGTCATGGGATCATATTACAATCCTTACAAGATAAAACCGCTCCGTACCATCTTCTCACTTCATGCGACAAGGACTGCTTTCTCCGTATGCCTAGCTTCGGTTTAGGAGTCCAATCCTGCCTGGGAGCGGCAGCAAATGTTGATGGTTCAACTGAAAACCTCGACTTGATAAATGTATGCTATCTTCATTACACGTTAATTGCTATCCGTTGTCTATTATCTGCTGTTTATTATTATCCAATACAGTGTATAAACTCGACGACCGTCGTTAGGTACCAGACGGTATGTATCAGTATCCCGCCTGCCCTGGGGTTGAGGTGGGCTTTTTGGGGACCAGGGTCAAGAGCTGCAACATTACTGTTTCCGGAGAATCATGTTATTGAAGATTTAGTGTGAAATCTCAGCTCGTAGCGATTTTCACATACAGACCAAGGCTTTCCGTGTAGCGCCGGGGCTCTGTGACTATAGACAGCCAGGGATTTGAGGCTGGGATCCAGTGCCTTTACCAACAAATCACACAGAACCTCACACAATAGTGTGGAAGATCACACTTGAAGACGAACACCCAGTCGTTTTCTCCCGACACCTAACAAGATCTGGAAACCCCATAAGCGCTCTCTCGTTTCTTCGTGGCTGCAGATCCTGGAGGCGATACTCGGGCCGGACAGGAAGGCCTGCAGCGCTCAGGAAGGATTCAAGAGGTGCAGGGGCTTCCGGAAACTCAGTTTTGCTAACATCTTTCGCAGTCGTCGTACTGTTACGTGCACTCTGTAATGGTTATTCACGCTCTTGCCCTGCCACTCTGCAAGACCTACTGTTTCACCTGACAGTGTTGGCAAAGAAAGGCAACCAACAAAAGCTGCATCTTCGAACTTCACTCACATCCATCGCGGAAACTTTCTTGCGCAGAGAAAGGGCGGCAAGGCTCCAAAGGTCGCCGCGACCGGTCTGGGACTACTTGACTGCAAGCCAGTGAGGGATTTGCTGGCACCACCCATGCAAACACCAATGGAAAACAAGCTTCGTCGCAGTGCTTTTGGCTTCCACGACATCAGCAAAGGGCTTTGGCTCCCTAAAAGCTCACACCCAGACCAGATTCCAGCTCTCACGAGCCATTCAAGTTGAGTGCTCTGCAAGGAAGATAAGGGATTCCTCAGCCCTGACTGGCCTTCTTGTGTAGGTACCCATGCACGGACTAATCAAAAACGCTTGGTCATGGTACTTCAGTACACGGCGTCAGCAAAGGCCGTTGGCGCTGTGCATGTCGCCATGGCCGCCGACGAAACAGCCCGCTGCCAACAAACTTCAAGCTGGTGGCATGCTGCAAACTAAACGTGTCTGAAATACGACTAAACACACGCAACACAAGAATCATTTTCAGGCTCCTCCTTGAAGAGCCGAGGAAGACAAAGCGAAACCCTGACCAAAAAGGATCCCAGAATCGTAAACTTGACACTTCATACTTCATACATGATATAGATGATGGCTAATTTACGTCCTCTCACGAGCAGTATCTGACAAGCATAGTAGAAATAAAGATGGATCCGGTGGGCTTACGCACGGACCATCCGATTACAACACGGCTCATTCGCGGACCATCCGATTACAACCTGAAAGTACAAGTACTGTCGTTGTCGTCCCAGATCTTCCTGCCATCCGCCTCTTCAGTTGGATCAACCACCACCTGTGGATGTTAGGATCGGTAGTGCGGGAAAGAGAAAGGTGCGTCATCAGTCCTATGCCGGCTTGTACAGAGCCCTGTCATCCAGAGTGGTGGACTTTAGGGCTTTTGGGCAATGTCTGAGATTTGAGCCCCATATTACCGATACGACCATCGATCTCACCACTGAAACATCCACCCACTGCCCGCCTCCTCAATGTTGATTGGGCCCGTCCGGACGGAAGGAGACACCTCAGACACCTCCGGAGAAGTCTCCGCAAGCTTAGGCAGGCACGAGCCACGCAGCTGACTTACCAAAGCCGGAGTGGCCAACCTAATGAGGGCTCCAACGACCGCTGATGTCAAGATGGATGCAGCGAGACCGAGCGGCGACAAGTGAACCGCGTCCGTGCTCACGCATCTCACGCTGACATCCTCGTCCAGGAAGAGCCTGGACAGCTTGCTGAGACTGACCACTGACGCTTGTAATTGGCAGCTAAGACTCCAAATCCCTCGCCCAAAAACAGCTCGAATAAAATCAAGCGGAGGAGCATCTTCGAAGAAGTTGACGTAGTTGAGGTGCCCGTCATCGTGAAGCTAGAGGATGCTGTCCTGGAGGAAGTGGGCGTCGGGGATGTCGCAGTGACACTAAGGGAAGTGGATGTCAGGGACACTGTGGTCGCGACTGTTGTCGTGGTGCTGTCCGTCGTGGAGGACAGAGTGGAGCTAGACGTGGAAGACGTGGTGGAAGTGGATGTCGAGGACACCGTGGAGGAGGTGGAAGTTGACGTGGTTGCAGTGGTGTCCGTGACAGATGTCTCAGTCCCTGTAAAGGTGGTTGACGTGGCAGTCAATGTTGAAGAGGTTGCTGTGGTTGTGCTGGTGCCCGTCACAGATGTCACAGTGACACTGAAGGTAGTGGACGTTGAGGACACCATAGAGGAGGTAGACGTGGACGTCATGGTTTTCGTCAGCGATGTCACGGTCACAGTGAAAGAAGTGGGTGTCAGGGTCACTGTGGAGGAGCTTGACGTGGTCGTGATCGTGGAGGAGGATGACGTCGTATGTAGTCGTGGATTCCGTCACGGAGATCGAAGTCCTCGTGTTGGACGTGGACGTGGCTGTGACCGTGGGGGAGGAGGATGTTGTACTCGTGGATGTCGTCACAGATGTTGCAGTTTCCGTGGAGGACGTGGTCGTGCCAGTGCCAGTGAAGGAGGTTGATGTGGTCACAGTGATCGGTAGGGGCAGGCATCAGCAGCCTGGACCGGATCGACACTGAAACCCCATACAGCCACGCCACCGTCGGACTTCAACCCAGCGAAGCTCCACCTACTTCCATAGATCGCATCCACTGACGCAAACTCACTTAGCACTTCAGCGCCCGGCGCGCCCCAAGCGACCACCGAACCATCGCTCTTCTTGGCGGCGAAGGCCCTCTCCGCTGTATAGATCACATCAACTGAGGTCAACTGATGGGCCACGGCAGAGGAGTCCCCACCATGGCCGGAATCGCCCCAGGTGACGACAGTGCCATCGAGCTTCTTTGCTGCAAAGGCACCATAATTTGCATAGATCACATCAACTGACGTTAAATCGCTTGCCACGGCGGAGGAGTCCCCACCATATTGGGCGCCCGTACCCGTAGTTGGCCAGGTCACCACCGTGCCGTCGAGCCTTTTGGCAGCGAATGCACAGCAGGTCGGATAGATCACATCAACTGACGTCAATTGGCTTGCTATGTCTGCGCAGCAGCCGCCACGGTCGCAGACGCCCCAGCAGACCGCGGTGCCGTCGACCTTCTTAGTCGTGTAAAGCTCCCTGCATTGTGCTCCCGCACCTACAAACCAAGCCAACAGGAGTTCTGGGACCCGGGACATGACATCCAGGACCTTCTGAGCCAAAATGCTGGCAAGCAAACTTGGTTTGCGAGGCACATGACATGCAGGTGCTCATAGCAGGTGCGGCTCGAACAGCTTAAGAATCTGTGTATCGCACCTTTCAACGTGCAGACACTTGCACCACTCATCCTGTGCATTATCTTGCATCGACGAAGCACAACAATCGGGGAAAGACCAGTCACGCTTTCGGTGTCCGGCGTGCCTTCTCGAGTAGCGTGTCCAGGGAAAGGTCCATGAAAAACACTTTCGGCAGCCGGCGCATTTCAGCCTACACCAAAGTCCACATTGCAGCTGAGGCAGACAAGTCTGCACAAGCCAGACCCAGCCTGCGTCACTGCGTCGCGTCCCCCTGAAGCAACACAATACATTCGTGATACTCTCCGCTGCTGTTGGCTTAAGAATTGAAGTCACGCACTGCCCCACCGTGGTTCAAAGGCATGCTTGCGCTCCCTCGTCAAAGCACCAGCCCGGCCTCCGTTCACCTGGCGGGCAGAATGCAAAGCAGCACGGAAATGTACGGAGTGCTTGACGAGACTAGCCGCTTCAAGCAGGTCTTGTCGAACAACATGCTGTTCGGAAACAAGCCTCCTTCTGATTGACCTCCTTGCATTCCATATTGTCGATCCAAGAGTCATCCAGCGGAGCGAGGTCTAAAGAAAAAGAGAGAAGGGACAGAAGGAGAGAGCGAGAGATCCAGAGAGAGACAGAGAGAGACAGAGAGGGATCCGAAACAAGCAAGTGCTGCTTTCGCATCAGGGCGAGACAGATCCAGGACAGATCCAGATCCAAGTATGTGGGAGTTTCTAACAGTAGGGGACCCTAACATAGTATTACTCTAAATGGTGGGATCCTTACAATAGGTACCCCCAAATTCCAAACTAAGGTATCCTAATTTTCGAAAACTCCCATGTACCTTCGCCTCTCTTCGTTGTGCGAATCGCTGCACAGTGCTAGTGGCTGGCCTGGCCAAGATATGGGTAGATGTCGATAAATTACGACACTCCTCTTAAAAAGAACCCTAGAAAGGAGCACCATTTAGGGAACTGCCCAAAGGTGTTTGCTCTTTCTCCTTCTCAAGATGCACAGCAGATGCAACGACGATTGGAGCCCCGCGTAAAAGACTTCAAGACCAGGTCAAAATCTTCATACGGCCAGACATATATATATATATATACATATATAGATAGATGTGTGTGTGTGTGTACACATTCCCCGGGGCTTTTAGAAACTCCGGGTATGAGTCTGTAATTGGAGTAGGGCTGGGTCGCACATTGTGTACCTTCATTATGCAGGAAAGGTGCTATTTCCTATGCCCTGGGTGAAACCCATAATGTAGCCTCACCAATACTCCTAACGAACGCGACACGTAGTACCAACCCTAATTCACATTGACGCTCGATCAGATCCCGAAAAGCACCCGACCGCGGGGCCTTTCCAAAGGTTTGGGGTTTCGGGCTTTTGAAGCTTCAGACGCTTCAGTATTTTTAGGGGCTTTCGGGTTGTAATGGTTTGGGTATTCTGACTCTCCGGTTTGAGGCTTGACTAAATCTGACATGCCCCCCCCCACAGTCTCCCCTGTCTGGCGCGCCTGTTGCGGCTCACGCTTCCTCCGCTTTCTTTGCCTCGGCCCTCTGGCGCCGCTCCTCCACGTAGGCCAGGGAGAAGGCGAGCAGCATGACGATGCAGATTCCCTCAGCTTCAGCTTCGGCGAGGAAGGAAGAAAGGAAAAAAGGAAAAAAGGAGCTGGAAGGAAGGACTGGCTAGGGCCCCAAAGCCGCAGCAGTCGGGCGTCTCCTGCAATGGAGCAGATCAAGAAGACCAGGGCGCGCTGAGTCAACGTCGACTTCGCCCAGTGCAGGTCGTTGGCCTCAGTCTCACAAGCCCGCCGAGCACTCGCAACTCTGATACCCAAGGACTCTTCCCGTGAGTGCAGGCCAGTGTCGATGAGGCAAGTAGTCAGGCCGGTGATCGTGAGGCTCACGATCAGCAGCCCGATCTCTGCTTGATTCCAAGCGTCTTCCTCGCACGAGGTCAAGCAGGGAGCGCCTAGAACGCACCCTACTCAGGGACAAAATAGAATCCCGCACCATCCCTCCCAAGAGAAACTGGACCACACTGTCACGAACTCTCATCTGGGCCCGGGTGACCTGGTAAGGCCGGAAGTAGAGGTGCGCCACCAGTGATGCGATGAGAACCAAAGTCACGGCTTCCATCTGAAGGGCCTCCAGCCCAGAGGTCTCCGCTTTCCGGAAACGGCACGACTCCCTCCACAGAACCCACACTTCGTTTCCAAGCCAATTCTCTTACCTAGGAAGTTTAGTCGAACGTGCACGCAAGAGTGCACAATGTCTGCACACACTGACACACACACACACACATATGTTGAGATCCACATGTGTGAGATTGTGGTTTTTTTTCTTGCAGCTCCAGGGTGGGACGACCTTGGGTTCTGAAGGAGGAGGCTGCAGGAGACAAGGTGACTGGCAAGGTGGCGGCAACCAGGGCCAGGAGAACCTGGCAGAGGTGAACTCCATATCCAAACCCTGCACCCCAAACCCTGACAGCCTTGTTGAGGCTTCGGGAGAGTTTCTGTGTCTTCCGGCCCACTCTCAAAGCCACAAGCACCCGCGGGCAAACCGGGCTGACTCGAACAGACTGCGGCTCTTCATGTGCGATGTGTCGCAGCTGGAAATTAGCCCGCTTAGTGCATCACTGCCATCCTGGCCTTGCGCATCAGCCGCTCCACCTGGCGCACCAGTCATTTGAGGTTTTAGCAGGGGTGTGAAGAAGCATCGAACCGAGAGGTCTGCATTCGATTGCCGATGGTCTATGGTTTTCATTCCAGATGAAGTCGCAGTGCCCAAGAGCTGAACACAACAGCTTGAGGGAAAGGCTTCTCTGCAGAGGCAAGGATGCAGCTAGACGATCCGACAGAGGCCCGGCCTCCCAGATGGCGCACTCCGTCCGGTATGCTTGGATCAGATAAGCCACATGCGGCCGTGGCGCCTCTGGCGATCGAGTTCTCACCTGTGGCACTTGAGTTTAGAGGTGTCTGTCACCTCGCCATGCTCTGCTTCAACAGGTAAGCAGCGCTGAGGATGTCTCTGGCAACCCAGGCACGGCGTAGATCCAGCTGCACACGCTCAGCGCCGAGAAACCGAGGATGGCGCCGAGCACTGCGGCGACCCGCAGCGGAACGTGGGACGTCATCTGCGGTCCAGGGGGCAGGAAGTCCAAGTGCAGCGCCTGAGGCCGAGGCGCGTGTGCATGTGTGCCGTTAGTGTGCCGACGATTCCCTCGAGGACCCCTGCGGACGAGGCACCCCAAGGGCTCGGTCCTCTTCAGATTCGGGCCGCAGCCGGAAAGCCACGAGGTACCTGGGCAAAGCATGGCAGTGCGACACCTGATCCTTCATGCAAAGGCAGCGCAATGACTGCCGAGGTGCTTGCCGAATCCGGCGATGAAGGCCGGCAGGAAGACGTTGCTTCCAACCACAGCTGCGAGCCAGCCGCCCTTCATCACGGCAAGGCCTGCCTGAGATCGGGTGAGAATTCTAAGCTTCGCCCAGCCTGGCGCACGAACTCCTTGTCATCATCACCCGGCAACAGACAGAGCAACCGTCAATGCCGCTCAGGGTGCCACAAGCAGCGCAGGCCAGAGGGACATCAGCACGTGGACGTAGTGGATGCTGCTGTCCATGGTAAGTAGCTGAAGCAAGCACTGCCCCGACATGCTGAAGCTGCTGGCGTCGCTGAAGAAGCCTTGCCCTTGAGCGACAGATGCCGGCAGTGCCAGCATTTGCAGGGCAACCTGCGATGCTATGCGAGATGCAAGGGGATGCGAGGGGCTCGAGCACGAGAGAGTGGGCTCCTGCGCTGCGTTGTCGAGATCGTTCCTGAAGGTGCCTGTCTGTATGGCACCGGACCTCAAAAGCTCAGCAAGAAGCCTTTGCAGAGCCCGAAGCTTGCTATCTGGTCATGGCTTCTGTTCCGAGGCGCATGGTGACGCCGGCTACGGCCGCAAAGGACATCGCCTGGTTCAGCAGCGTGGCACTGGTGGCTCTCTGGCCCTTGCTGCCCTCCACCTCAAGACGCGAGCAGCCACGGCGCAAACATCCCATCTCAACCTGGGGCCCCTGGCACTCACCACCGCGGAGGCGAAGAGGGCCAGGTTCTTCAAGAGGAAGAAGCCGACATACCAGACCACCTTGAGAATCGCTCCACGCCAGCCGCATCTATCCCTCCCCTGCCTCCCTGCCTTCTTGGGTGCAGTGGTCCAGGTGGCGCAGCGGATGCACCGCAGAATGTCCGCATCTGCACGTGTGTAGCCTTCAATGCAGCTCGTGCACCTCAAAGCACGTTCAGAGTCTCAAGGAAGCGCGGCCCTCCCGCTCCCGCCCTCCATGCCCTCGCCTACGGCACACTTAAGAGACCTTAGAGAGAAGTCTAGCTTCCCCCAGGTGTCTCTCTCTGTCTCCCTCTGTCTCCCTCTGTCCCTCTCTGCTCCTTTTCGAGAGTGGATCCCGAGATTCGGCTCTCCGAGAACTCTGCTCGCACGCCTTTTGACCGGCAGTTCTGCAAAAACTCAGCATGAATCTTCGCTGCTGGTTCGACAGGGCGCTCGGTTTCGAACCACGGACACGCTGTGCACGCGCATGCTTGAACAGCGTCACTCAAGTCTTACCAGAAAAAACCGGGGCTCTCTTTTGCTTTCGCAAAGCATGATTGGCGAGGCTTCAGGCCCCCTTCCCATGAAGAGGAACGCAATCCGTTTGCTGATGTTGGTCATTTATTGGCTGTTTGCTCGGGCCGGGAACATGAACAACGTTCTTCGGGCTAAGGGCACCCTGAATACCGAAACCATGACACTCAGCTCTCTTGCGTGCTTGCTTGCTGGGCGTTTGGGGATAAGGGCAGCAAGCACCCCTCCCCCGCGCGTCGGAGCTCCGCCAAAGTCCATGTTTGGTTCTCAGCTCTCTCTCTCTCTCTCTCTCTGTCCCTCTCCCTCCCCCCGCCCCAAATTTGCACCAAGGATCCCGGGTCCACGATAGCCTTCTTCGCACATGGGAAGCAGCTCCTGCCCAGTCGGAACACACCTCGCCGATGCTGGAATGGTCTTGAGACAGCTGTGCAATGGCAAGGAATCCTGCTGAAGTGCCTCAGCCAATCCCCATTGGAGCCTCGAGCCTCCAAACTGCGAGGAATGCGGCCCCTCCCGCCCCGTCCTGTGCCGGCTCGTCAGGGATGGCGCTGGCATTGAAGTGCCCGCCGCGGCAGGCCTCAGCACCAACAGCGGCTCATCTGATCTGATTGCTGATTGCAGTCGCAAGCATCGCTGAAGCCCAAGAGGCCATCTCGTTGGGGCAGCGGTACCAGCCGGAGAGATCGTTGGCCAAGGTGCGATCGAAGTCCACCTCTGCATGAAACATGGCATTGCTGTGAAGAGCCGGTAGATTCGTTCTGCACCGAGACCCGGACCATGTAGCCGGGCGGCAGCTTCAGCTCCGTTGATGTGCAAGTGATGGTGACATCTCCCATCTCGGGGCATGAGGTACAACGCGCATCCTGCCAGAGCAGTACTGCCATACCAAAAACGATGTGCAGCAACAGGGTACGGTGACATGCGCACGTCTCAGTCGTTGGCTGAAGGTGCAAGTGCCCGGGCCGAGTTATGCAAAAATCCTCCAGCATTTTGTGTTGGCCTTCAGGTTCCTGTTTCAAGCTGCCCAGCCTGGTCCGTCGTGACGAGGCGGATCTCACCTGCTGGACACTCCTTGCACTCCTGGCCCTCGCCCTCTGCCAGGGAACGACGGCTCTCCCCTCGCCGACACAGGAGCTGTGCCAGCCGAAGCTGCTCGACAGCCAGTGTGCAGCCAGGCGCTTCCTGGCAGTCGACTCTGCCAAGTGTCACGCCGGCGTTGGCTCCAGCACCAACAAGAGAAGATGCCGAGAGGAGTCTCGAGCCGCTGTCAAGTGCCAGGTTGCCAACCTTTGCCCGGCCAGATTCGACGTGAAAGCAGCCCGAAGTCGGCGCATTGCAGTGGCTGCAGCGGATCTGCTCCGCCACGAGCCTCCCTTCGGCATAGATGGCGCCGCCCGCGCCTCTGGCCTTGCACTTCCTCAAAAGCAGCGGGGCAGCGAACTCGCCGGTGCCCAGGTGGAAGCAGCCGCCGTGACTCTCGGCCGCGCAGTTGGACACATTCAGCTGCTTGGCCTGGCCGCAAAACATAGGTCGTGAGTTGAGCGTTTCTTGAAGGCTAATTGATATTAGATGGTATACTCAAGTCCACAAGTCTTATAGTATGTTGTCAATGTAGCATATTGAAGCTTACAATGCCTTATGTTGTAGTTGTCCTGGTTTAAGGCATGCGCACGGTCTCCTAGCATCTTCCACCCTGGCAGAAGATGGCCCAAGGGAGCTCCCTGCCTTGTTGGTGACCCAGTTTCTTGCGAAGAAGCCTCCACCTCGTTCTGCCGCGGAGTCGCGGATGCTCAGTGTGGCCGACTCCTCAATCGTGATGTTCGTCGAGAAAATGCCACCTAGCCAATGCATGAGCATGCCAGCTCTCTCCAACCACCCCCTTGTAACAGCAATCTCCCTTGACATTCGCCTCTCCGCTGTACCGAACAACAGCACAAAGCCATCGCAAAGCGTCTGGGCGGTGCCTCCTTCGCGCCTGGCTTTGCAGCCCTGAAGGTTCACGTCGCCCCTGGACTGCTTGAAATCGCTGGTCGAGATGCAGCCTCCGGAGCTATGGAGAAGCCCTGGACTGGAGCACCCCCCCCTCTTCCGCATAGATCACCCTAATAGCTCAAGCCCAAGCCAATCTTCATCAGAGTGTCGGCGACCCGGCTTCAATGCAAGCCTGCTCCCGCTGAGCTTTGCTCAGAATCTTGCGCTTGAGCGATCGTTTCGCAACTCAACTGCATGTTTTTGCTTTATGACCCCTGATCTGTAAGCCCGCGCAACACTCCTGAGTATTGGACTGCTCGCTTACGTTTGTTCGTCTGGAATTCCGGCGGTTGGGACAATGCTGGCAGCAGAGCCTGCTAAATTCGAGGCAAGCCACCGCTTGCAGCAAAGCAGTCTGATACTCAGGTAGCCATTTAGGTAGGTGCTGTGAAGATCAGAACGCAAAATGCAAAGTTTCCTGCGTCGAGCCCTCTGACCTTCAAAGTCTTCGGCTGCTGTTTAGCCTTAAGTCTGTATATACCTAGGGCTGTCAGAAGCTTGCAGAGGTGCTGTGACTTTGCGTACCGGTCGGAAGCAGGACCGCTCGAAACAAAGCCTTCCTGAATTGCTGTGTACCACTTGTTGGCATCCCCGATCCAAGTCCAAGGACTGCAGGTGTAAGTATTGTAGGACATACTATACTAGAACATACTATACTAAAACATACTATAGACTATAACATACTATGATGTACTACAACAGACTCGCCAATCAACCCACTTCCCCGGCCTCCATTCTCGTCAGCCCAGGCCGCCGTGATGGTCAGGTTACCCCCGGAGATGTCCATGCGAACTGCACGAATCGCGCCTGCACGTCACTTTCACTTCCCGGTCTCGACCTACCCAAGACTCAAGTCCCTCCGTAGCCTCAAACATCTTGAAACAATGCAAATCTGAGAGCTGAGTTTTGCTCGACAGAGATGTGTCTGGAGAGCTTAGCCTTTGAGAAGGCTCTTCGAAAGCAAACGTGCCGCGAGCACTCGCACTTGCTTCCAAAACTCACATGCGAGCAAACTCACTTACGGAAGTTCGGTCCCGTACCATGCCTCTGTGACCCAGTAGTTCGTCTTGGGGTTTGACGCTCTCTCTCCGGCTGCACACACCCACAATTGTGGAGGTTGCAGTCTTTGTACACGTTTTGAGATGTTCAGCTGCTGCTTATATAGTTTAAAATCTGAATGCTGAGATCTGCCCCCCAACCATTACGCTTCAACGCGGAGACCCTCAGCCTTAAACTGCTAAGGCCTGAAACACTACAGACCATTTCTGCCTCATCTTAGTCGTAGTCCCAGGACTAAGCCCGGCCTCCATCCTTCCGAACCGAAGAATTATCGATGGTAAGGCTGCCACCGGAGACTGTCAAGATTCTTGCATAGATGGCGCCTGCATGCTCAGCACACACACACACACACACACCGCGACCCGAAGCACCAGCAATTGCAGATAGGCGGGGTTTGGGTTCAGCCTCTGCGACGGCCGGGGTTCTTCAAATGCGACCAGAGCCGACACTCAGCCTAAAACTACGACTGTGGAAAAGGAATTTTGGTGCGTGTTGTCGTGGGATCCCCGATCCAAATCCAACGATCAAGGGGACAAGCCCACTCCTCCCCCGGCCTCCTTGTGCATCAGCCTGACACTGCTTGATGATCACATTGCCACCGGAGATGGCCACTTGCTTCTGTGCCGAGATTGCGCCTGCACTTCAGAGCTCAAACCTTCCCGCTCTCCACATCTCAATCTACAGTACCCAAACCCGCAGCCCCAGGGCCCTCCTCCCAAGCGAAACATGCGCTGATCGGGTCGGGTCTCATCCGCCCACGGCACACCGGGCAACTGAAGCTTTTTCGACAAAGTCGGGGTCTCAGGACGTGCAGATGCCCTCCCGCATCCATGAGATCCCAGAAAGCCTTCCTGGGCCCTAAGGATATGCACGATAGCCCCCCCCCCACACCACTTCGTCGGACCAAGGATGGCAAAGTCTGGACATCCAGTTCCAGGGCATGTCAAGGGCCCGGGTCCCTCGAAGTCGGGCTCAGAACGTTATGGTCAATCTTTTGCTCTTGCACAGAAAAGAAAGGGCATCACGCCAGGGCTTGCATGAAAGCTCAACCGATGTACAACTTGCACTCCTGAACTCCGCACCTCCATAGCGCGCGCCACATCCTGCTGCATCGATGGTCGCATTCCAGTTTTGCAGCGCACCTGTGCAAAGGTCACAGGCGGCTTCATGTGAGAATCCGAGAACATCCTTAAAATGTGGGCTTGAGCTGCTCCAGACTCCGAACACTTCCCCTACTGACTGCGTCCAACAAACTGCGGTGTCTCAGTGCCGGTCCGCCGCCTCCCACGTGCATGCCGCCTCCCCAGGCAAAGGTAGTAGCAGGTGCTCTGCATTGACGAAGAAGCAACTCGCCACCAAGAAGTTCGGCATCGCCGCCCACGCGCAGGCAGCCTCCGTAGAGTTCGTTCCCCTTCGTAGCCTGGTTCTTGCAGCCCGCCAGGCTCAGGTGTGCGTTGGGCTCCAAGGTGAGGTTGCGTTCTACGGCGATGCATGCGCCGTTCATCTGACCGTCACCGGCGGCCCGAACGCTCAGCCGCCCTCCGAAGATCGCGTTTCCCTGGAAGCGCAGGGGCGCCGAGAGGAGCAGCTCGGCACCTGAAAAGCACGGAAGCTCGCAGCATTCTCCCCTCTCCCAGCTTCCACCTCTCAGCCTCTCAGCTCCACACTTCCTGTTACCCTGCATGAGGGCTCCTCCACGAGCACGACCGCCTCCTTCCCCACCTGCACTGCGGAAGCTCAGAACTCCATGTCTTCAGGCTGCCCTGCAAGGCGTCCTAGTCTAAGCCGTGTAGAACTTAGAGGCATAATGTTTCGAGAGAGATTGGAGAGGTCACAGGATGCTCTATATATATAGTATACCATTTGTGTACTATAATATGCTAGGCTGCTAGACTCGGCGGCCGCCGGACCACACTCCACGCGGCCTAAGAGAAAAGAGCAGCGCCGGGACCTCAAACCCGAAATCCCAAGAAGACGCAGCAATGTACGATAATTTACTATGATACCACAATACAAAGTAGTGTACCATGATTACACAAAAGTTTCTATCTATCACATGCTAGAGTCAAACTATAACATACTACAATAGGCTACGATGCACTATAGTATCCTGCAACATGCTATAATATGCCGCGCATGCGCCTCGTAGCGTCCGTCGAGGTGCAGGACACCGTCGGAACACTTTGGGAGGAGGACCTGGTCTCCCGAGCTTCGCAGAGTCTTTGCTGTTTGATGCTACAGTATACTATCCTAGATTGTAATATGTGAAAGTACATTACAGCATATTCTGGCATAAGCCACTCAATGTACTTTGGCATAAAAAATACACTATAGCATACTGGACGTATACTATAGTACATTAAGTATGTCATTCTATCTTGTAGTAGAGAATAAACATCACGAACACGTCTTTTTTGATTCTCTAGTACATTACAATACACGGTAGACTTTGATAGTATACTGTACAGTCCATTATAATATACTGTGGTATCGGCTCTGGGGTCTGCCTGTTGAGCTCGGGCGATTGGAGTCGGGCATTGCGGTGGTATTAAGACCTGCCTTGATCGCTTTTCCTGCCAGTTTCCTGGCACCCGAGAACTCCATAGTACTAGTTGCAAGTGTATAGTATAGTGTAGTGCCGTATAGTGTAGTGTCGCGTCGTGTCGCGTCCGCATATCGTATGGCATCGTATGGTCCAGTGTAGTCTAGTATAGTCCAGTATAATACAGCATGGTATAGCCTGGCCTAGCATACTATAGCACGGTAGAATCCAGTCTAGTCTCGTCCAATATAGTATATAGTATATACTACTCTGCTTGTGTGCGCTGCTGCCTAATATTTTGTAATAGTATGGTGTAGGCTCGCATAGCATAGTATAGTATAGTACTTGTATGGCAGAATAGAGTAAAGTATAGTTCAGTACAGTATAGTTTGTCTGGCGCCTTGACATCCGTTGGGGTCCCATCCGACGTCTCCTGCCGACGACGCGCATACGAGAGCTTTGCAGCAGCGCGAGGCAAGGGTGCATGCCAACTTGCATGTAAACTGCACCAGGGTGAGGGTAACACCAAGGCAAAACAAATCAAACTCGGTCACTGGTGGAGTCAGGAGTCCTGAGCTCCATAGGCTGCGGGCCCTGCCTCCTGCTTGGCACTGTGACCTCAAGCAAGCAATCTCCGACAAGGATTGCGACGCAAGGCACTCGTGCAACAGCGAACAGAAGCTGTGCAATTTGGGGTTTCTGGGCGCCGTGCGGCGAGTCAGGAAGCTGTCGGGATCCAGCTGGTCTGCGAGGCCTCCGACAGGGGCGCAGCAGGCGGAGCACCCCCCCCTTCAAAACAAAGCAACAATTCTCAGCCCTGTGCGTTCCGCCGACAGGAGATGAGAGAGGGTGGCAGAAATCAAGAGCCGGCTCACGGCCATGTGGCCGCGGCCCAGGGGCGCTCTCAAGCGCCGTCAAGTGCCATAGAGGACACGAAGTTCATAGCTTTCACAAACCTACGTAGATTGAGCCCTGGGAGCTGCAGGCTGAGCATCGAGTCGCTGTGACAGCGCGCTGAAACGTTTCGCCCGGAAGTGCCGCAAGTCGCGGAGTTCTCCGGCCCAAAGTGACTTAAGCTGTTTCAAAGGCTGAGTGGTTTATCAACCTCAACGAATGCGAAAGAAACCAGCGCCAAAAAAACCTTCTTTACAAACCCAGGCTTGGTATTGTCCGTGCAAGTTCAAGTGTCTTTCAACTTCATTACTCGCGACTGTCGCTAATCCCTTCCTCCTCTTAGTCTAGCTTTGGGAAAGGAGGTGCTTTCGACAGAGCTTTTTGCTTGCTCTTCGCCATCGGCTATCCTTTGGTCTAGTTGCCTCTACCAGCACCCGAGGCTCAGCATGGCTCATCGACAGCCCCCATTCTCGGCCTTGTCAGGGGGCGATCTGCGCTCGCTCACAAAACTTTTTTCTCCGACTGGGGGAGTACACGATGATCTCGCTTCACTTCAAATGGACGCAGAGGCAGCAAGTCTGTCCCGGTCTCGAAGCCCCAGAACCCCCCACACAAGCCATAAAACTGTACCTGGACCATCCATGGGACAGGAAGCAACATCTTGGAAGGTCATCCCCCGCTTCTCTGCTAAAGTTCACTGCAGGTGGACGTCGGCTGAAACTACAGTTTGAAAAGTGCCGAGGTTCTGATAGGGTTTCAGAGATGAAAAGAGATGGACTCACTGTGGCTGTGGATGGCTTCAGCTTCAAGAACCCTCGACGGTCCTCACACCGACTACCTCTCGAGACTCTCCAGGCAACGGGACACTGGCGCGCCTGTTGCGGCTCACGCTTCCTCCGCCTTCTGGGCTTCGGTCCTTTGGCGCCGTTCCTCCATGTAAGCCACGGAGAAGGCGAGCAGCATGAAGATGCAGATTCCCTCAGCTTCAGCTTCGGTGTGCGCAAAGGCGACGAAGGAAGAAAGGAAAAAAGGGGCTGGAAGGAAGGAACGGCTTGGCTTAGGACCTCAAAGCCGCAGCAGCCGGGCGTCTCCGGCAACGGAGCAGATCAGGAACACCAGGGCGCGCTGAGTCAACGTCGACTTCGCCCAGTGCAGGTCGTTGGCCTCAATCTCACAAGCCCGCCGAACACCCGCAACTCTGATATCAAGCCAGTGACGATGAGGCAGGTGGTCAGCCCGGTGATCGTGACGCCCACGATCAGCAGCCCGATCTCTGCCCGGTTCCAGGCAGCTGCCTCACGCGCTCAGGCGGGGCACACCCCACCAGCATCAAACTGAACACGATTGACCTAGGCGGCCTGGTAGGGCCAGAAGTAGAGATGCGCTACCAGGGATGTGATGAGCACCAAAGTCACCGCTTCCATCTGAAGGGCCTTCGTGCAAAGCTTCCCACATCCTAGAGACACCAGAATTCCCTCCACAGAAGCCATGCTGACCGAGAGCAGCCTATGTGTGTGTGTGTGTGTATATATACATATATATACACACACATGTATACATATAGAGGTGGATGGATGGATGGACGGACGGACGGAGGGAGGGAGGGATGGATGGACAGACATGCAAACAGACGGACGGATAGACAGATAGACAGAAACGGAATAGGATAGCTAGATAGTCTGTTCGATAGATAGATGGGTAGTTAGACAGGTATGCAAATAGACGAGTAGACAGCCAGATAGCTGGTCGATAGATAGACGGATAGAAACAGCGACAGAACATGATAGATGGAAACAGAGACAGAAAGAAAGAGAGAGAGAGAGATAGAGAAAAGGAAAAGCGAGAGAGAAAGAGAGAGAGAGAGAGAGACAGACCACAAGCAGAATACGCATATATGCCTGTGTAAAAATCCATACTATGTGTATGTGCGTCTGCATCTGCATTTATGAAACCACGGTGTTTGAAGCATTTGGTATTGAGATGTCGGGCTTGTCACGGGGTGCTCAGTGCTTAAACCCTAACTCCTACAGCCCGAAGCCCAAAAACTATTACCCGAAACACCCAAAGATCACACCCAAAAACCGAAACAAACCAAATAAACTCTAAATCTAAACCCGCTGTGCCGAGGAGGCTGCAGGAGACAAGGTGACAGGCAGGATGGCAGCAATTAAGGCCAAGAGCACCTGGCAGGGACTTCTTGGGTCGGTTTCCAGGGCTTGCTCGTTTTGCTTCGTTGTTGATCGGTCCCTTCTCACATCCGCCGAAGTCTCTCGCAAATGCCTTGCCGGCAGAACGATGGGCAGGCTTACACCGCTATCCGGTGCGTGCATAGTCGACAACTGCTACACGGCTCGCACTTCGTCTTTTTGCATCGGGTGGCATCGACACACGAAACATCCAGGCTGGAATTCACATCAGCCGAAAACTAAGACCCGGAGTGGCGGGCGGGTTCTAAGAGCCAAACACCCACGATGCGTGCTCATTACTCGCCACTAGTGTCAGTGGCTCGCACTTCGTCTTTTTGCATCGGGTGGCATCGACACACGACAGATCCAGGCTGGAATTCACATCAGCCGAAAAACCAAGACCCAAAGTCCTCGTTATGACCGATCGTGTGCCGAAAACTCTCCAGGCCAAAGCTTGAACCATACATTGTTCTGAATACCAACTATTGTCCCATGGACGGCTTGGTGCAGAACAGAGGTAAACCCAAGTCAACCCAGCAGCGATGGCAAATATACGCTTCTTCTGATCAGCCGACAAGGCTGGCAGATACGTAACAGCTGCAATCTCCAACAGGTATATTTCCATGACTTTTGCGGAGGCCCATCTGCCCCTCCTCCGAACCAATTCGGAATCCTCTGTCTGCTGAAAAGGACACGCGGCTCCACCTGCTCGAAAGGATCCTAGATCAAGAGCTCGAATGCCTCGCGGAGGAGGCGAGGCCCCAATTTTCGTAAGCAGCAGGTCGAGACGCTTCCGCAGGGTCTGCGCTGAAAGAGGCCACAACCTTTCTCCAGGCATAAGCGCTGCAAAGGCAGTCGAAATGACTCGTACGAGGTCCTGGGCCTCGATCTTTGCCGCCTGATTCTTCGGACCTTTGTTTCTGGTTCTGGGCTCCTCAACCCGAACCAGGACAAATCCTTGGGTGAACCCAACATCCTCCGCCAGAATAAGTGATCTTCTGTCCACCAAAGGCAAGTGCGAAGCAACCTGCTTCTCTTGCCCAGCCCCAAACCAGCGCAGCTGTAATCAAGGCAATCAGGATAACAGGCGGTAGGGCCGTATGGTGTGAATAAGGCTCCTCAGCAACCCAGGCCAGACCTAAGTCCCAAGCTGCTTGAACCTGCCTTCGAAGGACAGGCTTCAAAGAAGTGACAGCGTTTATAGTCTCGGCGTAGTGCCAGTAAGGCTTGCCAGAATCCAGAACCATACAAGTCTCTTCCATACCTCACCACGGCTTCACTAACAGCCTCAGCATCAAAGGGCTTGACATCAAAGAAAGCCTGCAGATCCTGCCCAGTCACTTCCTCCAGCCATTGCGAGACAGCAGCTACAAAACCAGCCCTGTACGACCCTGTGCGACGGGGCCCAAGAAGGGCAGAGGCTGAGGTAGTGAGGAAGTCGAAATCAAGGATTGACGTGATCCTGAGCTTCAAGCCTCTCAAGGGGCCTGACTCGAGGGAAAGGAAAACCAAGGCGGGACACATGGGCCCTGGCTGACCCCTGAACACGCCACGGGTCTTTGACGGTAAAAGCGACAGCGACCTGTCTGATGCCAGTCCACTCCCTATTGAGGTGAAGGCATGAGGCATCAAGGAAGACCGGGCCCTTTGCAACGTCAAGCAACTCGCCGAGACGGGCTCCGCCCTGACAACACGAAAGCGGGAAGACAACGCTCGGGGAGCCTCCATGGTTGTTCAGGTCATTATGAGGACGCGATCTGACTTGGTGCAGTAGCGCGACAGAAGTAAAGCTGAAGCCAGGGCAAGCAGCCTTCACACAGCGCACCCCAAGGCGTGTGGCGGAAGGAAAACGGGAGGCAGCGGACCTCAAACCTGTGAGGGGGCCCTGGGCATACTGGCCGGTCGTCCAGTTCGCCCCGTCATCGGCCTTGCAATGAGACGGAAGGAGCTGGAGGAGGGTGCTCAGGATGTGAGGGGAGAAGTCACCGCCTTCTAAAGCATCTTCGCAACACTCTCAGGCTGGATCAGGGGGCAGTACAGACCAGCGGGAGGAACACTGATGCAGTTTCGATCAGAGAATGAGAGGAGGGCCCGAAGACAAGAAGACGCCCTTGACCTGGAAATGAGTAGGAGGAGTCGGAGCCAGTTCGCACGAGGGCGGTTCAGCCCGGCAAGTCGCCAGGCTTGAACCACATCAGCCTCCTCGAAACCAGATAGGATGCTGCCTTCAACAGGTTGCCAAACCTCCTAGCCGCGCGCGAAGGATCAGAGGCAATGAGCCTCGTAGGCCCGAAAGCGCATGCAAAGAGGCCTCCTGCAATGCTGATAGCACCAGCGCGGCGTATAGGCTAGGTCGGAGGAGCCTGGCTGATGATCTCCCTTTTGCCCGAGCGCCCCTGGCGCACGATAAATCGAGGATCATGACGGCTCGGCAGTCGCCCTCTCCCCTCGCTAAAGTCCTCTCAACACTGAAACCGCGGACTTGGAGTTGATGTGGCGGGATTTCCCCCACCTCCAGGCGGACTCAACTTCCCACTTCGTGCACAAAAGAGCATCGTTGATGGGGAGGCTTTCAAGCCCCGGGGCCAGGCCTCTTCACGTTCGGCACTCCGAAGCAGATGCACTAAACATTGTGCCACACCTTTGGCGATGGTTTCTGGAACACCCGGCTGGCCCAAAAAGCTTCAGGAGTGTAAAGAAGGGCAGGTCTGGCAGAAGGGCCAGCCTCAGCGGGGAGTGTGCACCGCCCGGGCGGCACCAGAGACACCCGGAAGTAGGGCCTGCGCTCCAGCCAGGGCGAGGAACTTGGTGCCCTTCTTGAAGAAAAGCAGAGCAGGAGCTTTTGCACGCATCAGAGCTTAAAAAGTGCAATAGCCCACTATCCTCGACGGCCCGATGACAAGGGGTGCACCCCCTTTCGAGGACACGCCCAAAGCATCTTTCTCAGCCTCACATAAATCCGTTCATGTGTGGCATTAGGATGCCTCCTCAGGCTGTCAGCAGGCACGTGCCTGAAGCCAGCATGCAAGCAAGCAGTTCAGCGACATAAAAACCACATGGGGGGTCCTCGAGATGAGGACATCCTGGCAGTCACTGGATCCGGCACGGCTGGCAGCTGCAACAGAGGGAGATCTGCCACTAAGAGGGATCGGGAAAAGGGCGGAGTCAGGCGCAGCTGGGCCCCTCTCGCGAATGCACATGGAGGCTCGAAGGAACCTAGAGAAAGACGTCTTCGTAGCCAATATCAGCCTGGGAGCCCAGGACGGGACGCTCTACATGCTGCGTGGGGTTTCGTGGTGCTCGTAGTGTACGGGTCCTGCATAGGAGCGAGGGCCGAGGGCAAACTAGAACCCAAAACTTCGTTCGGGGCAATAGGAAAACCTTCAGGCAAAAGGGGATTGATCATCCACAGCTCGGCCGCTACGAAGAACCGAGATCGCTGCTCGAGTCCCCCGAGCCTGTTATCTGAGCCACTACAACCGTCAATGCCTTGCTCTGGGCCAACACTGCCAAGGTGAGGGCGCTGTTGCCTTGGAGAGGCTCTCCACCTATATACCAGGCATTAGGGCTGGGGGGCTCTGCATGAGGAGGGGGCTCCCAGTAGTTTCCCAGGGGCTGCAGCACCTGGAACCAATGTCTGAAACGGGAGCCGGTTCCGGAGGCGGGAGGGCGAGTGCTGAGGGCTTGAAGGGCCTGCACGATGTCCAACTGCTGCGCCGCCAGTGCAGCAACTGTGGGGCGCTTCTTTTCCTCCGCGGTCACATATCCGGCGCCTCGGTTTCCACCTTCTGCCAAGAAGTGGCAAACCCCACGAGGGCCGTAGCGAGAGGAAAATGCATTGGTGAGGCTTCCGAGAAGGGGACACAGTCGCTCAACCCTTCTTCTAGAACCTCGAGGGCCAGCGCGGCCCTTTCTGCAAGATCTATCAGGAGCACATTCACCAGGTCGGAGAAGCCCGACTGAAGGACGGAAAGGAACGAACAGCCAACAACAATCCGCCTGGGAGCTTCATAACGCAGTAGCCCACTGCAGGAGGGGCATCGCCACCGACATCGAGAAGGGCGTGGAGAGAGACTCGGAGAACAACGACTTCTCCAGAGTCCGCAGGGGCGACATCTTCCAGATTTGGCGTGAAGCTGGGGCTGGGTAGACCAACCGTGCACCTGCAACGTGGATCCGGGCCTCGGTTTCAGTGGGGAAACCGTGCGAGAGCGTGTAGTTGCTCCGATGATGGTCGACCAGACGAAGGCATGAATCGCGGCTCGAAGTAAGCTGGACGTCGTTGCACTCTAGGGACCGAAGCACAACGTAGTACCTCGAAGAGATCGGAAAAGGGGGAGTGCAGTTGGGCGTGGATACGCGGCCCTCCATCACAGCAGCTGCCCAGCAGCCCGCAATCCAAGCACGCTGCGCCCTGAATTGGGGCGTCGAGGCAGAGGACCTCAGCAACCTGGCCGAATCCAGAAGGACCTGAGGCAGTGCAGGAGAAGAAGCCTCAATGGCAGAGCGTGGCTCGGGGGAGCCCACCTGCCTAAAGACCGGGCACTAGGACCCCTAGAACCCAACAAATGCCAACAAAGTCGCAGGAGTGGAAGGAGCAGCTTCAGCCGCTGCAGCAGGTGCCCTGGCAGGGCTGGCCGATGCCGAAAATCCAGGGGCCCCGGCCGTGTGCGTGGGATGGAAATGCGAAGACCCTCCAGCTCAAGCGAAAGCTGCGTGATGTCGTCCGCGTCAGAGACGGGTGTGCCCATGCAAAGCCAGTCTATAGCAGGGCCAGCTGGCGCAGGATCCCGAGCACGGTTTCGGGTTTGCAGGGGGTGAGGAAGCCGAGATTGAGGATAGAAGAAAAGGAGAAGGCTGCAAGGCAAAGTCCAAGAGCAGCCGTAAATCCAAGGAGAAAGGCACACAGACAAGGGAGGCGAAGGAGGTACCCTGGCAGTGCGGTGAACACCTAAGACCCCACAAGTCAGACTTAATCCCCTCCTAAAATCAAGGCAGCAACCTCCCTCAAAACCGGGCCCCACACCATTCTAAGAGCCAAACACCGACGATGCGTGCTCATTACTCGCCACTAGTGTCAGGAGCCCTAACATTTGTAGAATAGGGCTTTGCGGAAATTGCACCCAGAATACCCCAGACGAAGAGCGAAGAGCAGCTCGGCCAGACCCCGTACAATCTGCACAGTAAGTACAAATAAATTCGAAATCCAAGAAGCACACGTAAAAGACCGTAAAAGTGTCTCACGACGCACGCACCGCCAGTAGCATGGGGCAGCAGTATGCAAGGGTACTCATCCTGTCTCTCTCTGTTGCATAGGATGTGCTCAGGCCGATCAGTGTAGATGAAACCTTAGGACCTAAGGGGAAGTAACAGCAAAGAACCCTGCCCGTCGTCATAGACCTCAAGCACATGTCCTCCCGCATCACGCGGATCAGTACGGTCCGGTGGAGATGCTGTGGGGAGCGTACAGGGTTTAAAAGCTCCGTGCAGGTCTTTGGGTGAGTCAAGAAGCCTGTTCAAGTCCTACAGTTTTAGTTGGAGATTCACCCTGCAGGAACCTGCACGAGGATAGATAGCACTGCACATGCACCACATAGCTCCCGAGCTGGCCTTGCGCATCAGCCGCTCCACCTCGTGCAGACGGTCATCATCGAAACTTTGGGCGGGCACTTCACCTACGGTTCCTTTCAATGCGAAGACAAATACGTTTTGTCCAATACGTTTTGTCCAGATTTCTCAGCAGAGGCAGGAAAGCAGCTGACATAGCAGACAGCACAGTTTCCAGAAGACCCCCCCTTCGCTTGTTCGACCCTGCACGTTCTGCCACAAACGATGCGGCAGAGGCCCGGCCTCCCAAATGGCGCACTCGGGCCGGTATGCCTGCATTAGGTAGGCCACGTGCGGCCTCGGCTCCTCCGGCGATCGGGTTAAAACCTGACATCTGGGTTTCGGCTCTGCCCTGCTTGAAACGCTGGCTGCGCAGCGAATGTGCAACTTTAACTTTAGCGGAGGCACGGCGTAGATCCAGCTGCACACGCTCAGCGCCGAGAAACCGAGGATGGCGCCGAGCACTGCGGCGACCCGCAGCGGAACGTGGGACGTCATCTGCGGTCCAGGGGGCAGGAAGTCCAAGTGCAGCGCCTGAGGCCGAGGCGCGTGTGCATGTGTGCCGTTAGTGTGCCGACGATTCCCTCGAGGACCCCTGCGGACGAGGCACCCCAAGGGCTCGGTCCTCTTCAGATTCGGGCCGCAGCCGGAAAGCCACGAGGTACCTGGGCAAAGCATGGCAGTGCGACACCTGATCCTTCATGCAAAGGCAGCGCAATGACTGCCGAGGTGCTTTCCGAATCCGGCGATGAAGGCCGGCAGGAAGACGTTGCTTCCAACCACAGCTGCGAGCCAGCCGCCCTTCATCACGGCAAGGCATGCCTGAGATCGGGTGAGAATTCTAAGCTTCGCCCAGCCTGGCGGACGAACTCCTTGGCATCATCACCCGGCAACAGACAGAGCAACCGTCAATGCCGCTCAGGGTGCCACAAGCAGCGCAGGCCAGAGGGACATTAACGCGTGGACGTAGTGGATGCTGCTGTCCATGGTAAGTAGCTGAAGCAAGCACTGCCCCGACATGTCACCGCTGCCGGCGTCGGAGCCTTGCCCTTGGGCGGCTGATGCCGGCAGGGAAAGCATTTGCAGGGCCACCTGCGATCCCACTGCCAGGCCACGAGAACTTGGGATAAGCAGCAGATGCAAGGGGATGCGAGGGGCGTGGGCACGAGAGCGAGGGTCCTGCGCTGCACTGCTGAGATCGTTCTTGAAGGTGCTCGTCTGCATGGCGCCGGACCTCGATAGCTCAAAGCTGAGCAGAGCAATCAATGTGAGCCTCAAGAGCACTGGGCGCAGATTTTGCATCGAGGCACATGGTGATACCGGCCACGGCCGCGAAGGACATCGCCTGGTTCAGCAGCGTCGCACTGGTGGCTCTCTGGCCCTTGCTGCCCTCGTCCACCTCGGAGACTCGAGCATCTCCAAGTGGCAAGTCTGGCTCAGTTGTTCCCTTGCGCCCTGGGGGGCCCGGCACTCATCACCGCCGAGGCGAAGAGGGCCAAGTTCTTCAAAAGGAAGAAGCCGACATACCACACCACCTGGGGAAAATTGTCACCGCGGCCGCCTCTGCCTTTTGCCTCCGCAGTTTCTCGGCCTTCTTGGGTGCGCTGGTCCAAGTGGCGCAGCGGATGCACCGCAGAATGTCCGCATCTGCACGTGCGTAGCCTTCAGTGCAGCTCGTGCACCTCGAAGCACGTTCAGAGTCTCAAGGAAGCGCGGCCCTCCCGCTCCCGCCCTCCATGCCCTCGCACTGGTTTTTTCTTTTCAATCGTTCTTTCTGCATTTCGTTTTTTCTTTCTCTGTGTATTAATTTCTGTTTCGCCGTATCTTTTGAATTTGTTAGTTCGGTCTTGCTTTCGTTCCTCATTGCTCGTTCTTTCGTCAAATATTTCGTTGTTTCGTTCTTCATATCTTTACCTACGGTATTCGTCATGTCTTTTTCTATCGTCCGGGCATGTTTTATTTCATTCATTCGTTCTTTCTTGTCTCTTTGCATGACGTTCTGCAGTTATGTCTTTCCTGTTTATTTCTGATGTTCGTTCGAGATTTCCTTCGGTATGTCCTTGTTTATTTCGGTTGTTCGTTTTATGTCATGTCGATCGTTCTTTCTTTCTTTAGTGGTGTATTCCTTTGTTTCATTCGTGCTTTCGTTCGTTCTTTCGCTCTTTAATTCTTTCGTTTGTTCTTTCGTTATATGTCGTGAATTTCTCTAGTTTGTTTTTCCTTCGTGCCATTACTGATTTCGTTGTTGTTTTATGTCTGCCTTGTTTCTTTGGCTGCTTGTGTTGTTTAGTCGCTCGTTCTTTCAGTCCTTTCTTGTTCTGTCGTTCGTTATTTCGTTATGCCGCTTTCGTTGTGTCTTTGTTTCTGTCTTCATGTCCCTCGCGCTGTCAGTACGTCTTAACTTCGTTCTTCGTCTCGTTTTATCGTTCGGTTTTATGTCTGTCACTATCTACATGTTTATATTGGTTGTTCGCATCTGTTCGCTTTGTTCGGTTCTATCGTCGTTCGTTTGTTGTGTTCGTTAGTTGTTTCTTCAATTCCTTCTTTCCTCTCTCTCCCTCTCTTTCCACCCAAACGAAGAAGCTAAACGAAGCGACAACCCCCCCTCGAGAATTTGAACGTCAAGGACTGCTGATGAAATCCTGCAGCTGCTCGACCTTCTGCTCATGAGATTGTGCGATTGCAAGAAATCGTAACTGGCTTCGATGGCACTGTTTCTCCTAGACGCAAGAAAGCAAAGTGATCTGTGTCGTTATCCCTTTAGGCTGTCGTAGTGCATCTGCTGTGGTAAGTGTGCAAGCGGACCTGAGTCCTAGGACTGGCGCGCATCCATGCACACCGATCGTGGCTCGGGCCGGCTGGGCCAATCGCGTTCACTCAGGCGAACCGCACAGAATGACAAGAAACGGAGGGTTTAGGGCTAAGCCTTTGTTTTGAACACCTGCGTCATCCTGTGTTCATCCGCATTGCGGTAGTGACCTCAATACCACGTGATTGCGGACAGCTTTGGGTTAGGATTTTCAGTTTAATGTTTAAGGTTGGGTCTCGGTGTCTCTCTAAGCTCTTGTTCCACCTGCTTGAAGTTGAAGCAGAAACGTTTTGACTGTGGGGCCCGGCCGCTAACTGACTTCCAAAAAACAGCGCAATCATGCGCCACGTTGGATCCTCTCATACAAGCGATGGGTATGTTGGGCTGTCGTCGTCTGCCGCAGTAGCTTGAAAAGAGAGCGTCTCCCTTTCCCTCATCTCTCTCTCTCTCTCTCTCTTCCGGGCTTGGGGGTCACCCTCGTCTTCTTCAGCACAGGCAGAGAGGCAACACGTCCGTGCGGCCCCTCGCGCGTTACCACTTACTGGGGGGTGTACAGGAGTGAAAGAAAGACCGAGACTGCTTGCGGATCGACTCACCGGCACTCCCACCGCAAACCTCTATACTAAACCACAACCCGCCTGGACAATCTCCCTCTCTCTCTCTCTCTCTCTCTCTCTCCTGTTCCCTGTCCCCTCCCCCCCTAAGTCAGCACCAAGGATCCCAGGGCCACGGTAGCCCTCTTCGCACATTGGAGCCAGCTCCTGCTCAGCCACAACACACCTCTACACCTGGAGGTGCCTCTGAGATGTGTTGCAGAGTATTGTAGAGTCTTGAGACAGCAGCCGATCTGACCCTTCCATGCCCCGTGCCCGTCCTGTGCCGGCTCGCCAGGGACGCTGCTGGCATTGAAGTGGCCACCACGGCAGGCCTCAGCCAATGACATGAAGGCTCGTAGCTTTGCCAAGACGGGCGCGACATCGAGGCTCTGGGATCCTTCCTTCACAGCGTCGCTGAAGCCCAAGAGGCCATCTCGTTGGGGCACCGGTACCAGCCGGAGAGATCGGTAGCCGAGGTGCGATCGAAGTCCACCTCGTGGCTGTCGCACCAAAAAACTGCTGGGACTAAGTTGGAGGGCTTGACGCTGTGCTGCTCTGAGCTGCACCGAGGCCCGGACCATGTAGCCGGGCGGCAGCTGCAGCTCCGTGGCTGTGCAGGCAATAGTGAGGTTGCCAATTTTGGGGCATGAGGTGCACCGCGCATCCTGCCGCAAAAAGCAACACAGCACAAGCTCGTTGATGTCTACTACACAGGTTTCGGGCTTCGGGCTTGGGATTTTCAGCAATCTTACGAACAAGAGCAGATAAGTGCCTCATGTTGAAAGTACGTGCCCTGCTGGTTCGTCAACAAGTCTTGCAGCGCCGCCATGCTGGGCTAGACCAGACAAGGCACAACGGCATTTCAGAACACGCTCCCAACACGACCCAACCACTGCCCTGAACCACGGACCGAGCCTCCTCCGGCGTGACGAGGCGAATCTCACCTGCTGGACATGCACGGCACTCCTCGCCCGTGCCGTCTGCCAGGAGTTGACGGCTCTCCCCTCGCTGACACAGGAGACTTGCAAGATTCAGATGCTCGACAGCCAGCGTGCAGCCGGGCACTTCGCGGCAGTCCACTCTGCCAAGCGTGACGTTTGCATTAGCTCCGGCGGCAGCAATGGGAGACGCTGAAAGGAGTCTTGAGCCGCCGTCTAGCATTACATCTCCCATTCTTGCCCGGCCATGGTCGAAGTGGAGGTATCCAGCTATGGGAGCCGTGCAGCGGCTGCAGTGGATCTGCTGTGTCACGAGCATCCCCTGAGCGAAAATGGCCCCGCCCATACCACCGGCCTCACAATCCCGCAAAAGCAGCGGGGCAGCGAACTCGCCCCCGCCTTCGAGGTAGAAGCAGCCACCGCGATGCTCGGCTGAGCAGTTGGATACATTCAGCTGCTTGGCCTGACCGCACTGTGCCGTAGGTACTAAAGGCTCGAGCACTTTGTTGGTAAGCTTGTGAAGTTGTGAAGTTCACCGTTCCTATCCACCTATGCGAAGTGTCTGCTCCCATCTTCAACCCTGGGGCATGGTTGGGAAGCGAAGGGGAAGATGGCGAGGGAGGCTTTCGGCTGGAAACGTTTCTACTCCGTGCCTTGTTGGTGACCCAGTTTGCGAAGATGCCTCCACCTCGACTTGCCGTGGAGTCGCGGATGCTCAGCGTGGCCGACTCCTCAATCGTGATGTTCGTCGAGAAAATGCCACCTGGCCATGCATGCTAGCAACATCCTTCTAAAGAAGAAGACCACCAGTAACGGCCCTTCAAAGCACTCTCCCCGAGTCTTTAAACCCCATCAATGTCTCCTTGCGCAAAACACGTGCAAGCATCCACAGAGCGTCGGGACGCGAAAACCTGCGTCCGGTGCCTCCTTGTCGCGTGGCTTTGCAGCCCTGAAGGCTAACGGCGCCGCCGGACTGCTTGAAAGTGGCAGCGTGGATGCCACCTCCACGGCCCGATTCACCTGCAATTTCCGAAGCATCGACACGGAAGGTCACGGAAGCAGCTCCGGGGCTCGGTCCGTGTGACCACTTCGTTTTCGCTACACGACCCGTTCCCGGGGACACCAGAGAGCCCCTGCAACAAGCCACAGGACTGTCCAACACATCAAATGCCTTCGCAGTTTTCTCCCGAGACACGGCACCAATGCCGGGCGAACCCTTGGATTCCCTTCCAGGTTTCTAGATAAGGCTTGGAGAAGCTATCCTGAATGAATTTACGGGAGCGGGCTAGCCGGCCCGGCTAGCCCTGATATACTTCGCCAAATTGCCGTACAAGACCACCCAGCTCCGCTTTCTGAGCATCTGGGGGGAGCTATGGCGCCTCCACCCTTGCAGCCCTCGACCTGTAAATCGAACACCCCAAGCTGTAGCGGCGACACGCTGCATGCCTCTCGGGATACCTCGCCCATGTTCAAGGACAACAGAGCAACCCACTGGCCTTCAATCTCCACCCCAGCCTCAGACTTCTTGATGACCACGTTGCCACCGGAGACAATCATGGCTCTTGCTTGTATGGCGCCTGCCAACAGATGCAAAACGAAGAGGCTCGGTTTTCATCAGGCTCAAGGCTTAACAAGCGAACCGTCAGCCTGGGGACATGTGAACCGATGTTCGAACCTCGCTTCGAACTTGGGTTGAACCCGGGTTCATATGCAGTTCCGATGTTGATTTTCTCGTCCCTCACCCCGGACCACTGGAGTTGAACCTGGCCACTGGCTGGCTACGAATCTGAAGATTGAACTTCATCGGGTTCAGAGACCAGCTCTCCTGCAAGAATGGGAGGAATCTTGTGTTCACAGCTGGCGACGGCTGCGAAGAAGCTGAATGCTGCATCTTTGAGTCTTGCGGCGCTGAGGCTTTACACTCTGTCAATTCCCTCCAGATCAGACTGAAGACGCCCTGAAGCATCACGTGCCACTTCTTGTGATCCCTCGCTCAAGTCCCACGACCAAGTAAGCAACCCACTCCGCTGGCCTCCACGATCTTGTGCTGCCACATCCACCATAAAGAGGTTACCACCGTTCATGGCCATGGTGTCCAAAACAGAGATGGCTCCTGCAGGCGTAGCAGAGTCAACGCCTCCACAGATACAAAGCCTGCAGGTTCGCGGCAACCGAACCTGGTTTCAATTTAAATCTGAGAGCCGAGGTGATTCTAAAGCAGAATCTCGAATCTCTTTGCAGGGCTCTTCGAATAGCAACTCTACTAGCCATTCGTCTTCCGAAGTGTTCGCTGGCTTGCCGAGAAGTCTTGCAAAACGCAACAGAATCCCTACTTGGACGTTCGGCAAGATTTGGATGAGGGGCCGATTCGTCACGACGGCAATGCAATGCCAAAGAGGGGTGGTTTATTGGCTATGAATCCTGGTAGAATCTTTCCACAGCCCATTGGCCGAAGGTAGGCGGCTTTGGCCTGATGGAGAGCCCTCGCGGCCCTTTTGTTTCTGGTCTTTGAAGACTGCGACAAAGATGGCTCTTGGCGCCACAATCGAAACTCACATCAGTCAGAGCATTCGTTACCCGTGAAACCTAGGAGTTGGGAGACACTGCACACCAGCAGCAAAACGACCGCGTCTAGCGGCAAAGGCAGAGAGTTGCATCCTCGAGGTTGCAGCGAGCATGGGGTTTCGCACCTTTTCAAGCCTTCAACTGCTGGGAAATTGTCGCGCAGCGAAGTCTAAATGCCTGAACATGGGGGACATGGTTGGACACTTCGTGTGCCAAGAGTACCGCGCGTGCCACACGAAACAGGGTTCCACTTGGATTTGTTGACGGCATGCCTTTTTGCATTCAAGGCCTAGAAACGCTCAACACTCGAGTTTTGGAAGCGCTAGTCGCAGTTGGGATCTTGCTAGGCTCACTGCCGGGAAGTTGCAGACTGAAAATAGCATAGGCTAACCTACCGAAATTACCACGCCTACTACAAGACACAGGGTTCCACACGGATACTCGAATATAGTCAAAATTCATAATAGATTTGAAATAACATGCTATGATACGACACGGTAATATTCCGTGTGGCATGGCATGGCATGATATCGTATGATATGGTATGGTATGGGATGATATGGGATGATATGATATATGGTATACGGTGTATGGCGCATGGTATATGGAAACTGACACATGATGCATGATAAAGACTTATGACTCATATGATATATGTTATGTGATAGGAAATGAGACGATCTGATGCTATTCTGAATGCTATGATGCCACCCGGTAAACAGGAATAAGGGCGTTTGAGAAGGATGTAAGACCACTCAGGAGTAAGTCACGGAATGCAAATGGGAAATAAGCGCCTTTGACTTTGAGGAGTAGGTAAGGGCCGTTAAGGAGGAAGTAAGGACATTTAAATGGGAGAGAAAGCCATTTGAAGAGGAAGTAAGGGCATCCAACAAGGAAACGAGGGCGACACCCCCACCACCATGAAGACCACATGACCGTCACCATGATGGACAAACCGGACATCAGCACACCCCATCCCCCCCAACCCGAACGCAAAAGAAGCAAAAAGCAGGCGCAGGGATACCCTCACATGCTTAAACATGGTAGACATGTAGTGGCTTGGTAAGCTGACATGTGCAAAGACAGACTCCACCTGAAGGCTAGGTTCTGCCACCCCTCTCCCGAACTGTAGAAGCACCATGTCGCACCTCCATCCAAAGATACAGACTCTTTGATGATCACGCTGCCACCGGAGACAGTCATGTTCCCTGCCCCGATGCTGCCGCCTGCATGCGTGGCAGAGATGTTCAACAGCTACCCTCGACCCGGGAAGCACTGACAACCAATGCCAAACCTGCAGGTTGGAACTACACCTAAGTCCAAGTAAATGGAACTTGCAACTGCAAGGTTTCGACATGTCTCGACCTACGGCATCTTCCGAAAATCCCTTCCCCCTTTGATTAAACACCATCTTCGGACACCCCCTCTGAAATCATCCGCACCATTCACAGCCCAGTTTGGATTAGGGCCGGGTGCAGAAGCAAGAGCTGAAGCAAGAGCAGGAGCAAGAGAAAGAGACAGCAGCAGGAGCAAAAGCCAGAGGACGAGCAAGAGCAAGAGCAGGAGAGATCCCGCTCGTCTTTGTCTGCTGAAGCCCAAGCCAACAAGAATTGGTGTGTGCCCGGTTTGCCTGATGCGAGCTCTCAATGGTGGCTCAGTGCACGTTCGAGACCCTGCTGCAAGTAGCGCTCAGGTGTGTGGCAGCTCTTGATCTACACCCGCCGAGTGTTGGACAACTTGGAGAAATTCGACAGTGGAGTGGCCTCCTCCATCAATGTCAAGGCTGAGCACACGTCGTGCAAGCTGGTGGAGTCAGCAGAGTCTTTGAGGAGTCAAAAGACTCAGATTCTGCTGGCATCAGACCACCAGCTGCTGATGGATTTCAAGAACCCGTTCAGAGCTTTGATTAGGCCTGTCAGAGTCGATGTGACGAGGCCGGATCGTTTGCTTCTGGGAGCTTGCTGGAGCAGGCAGATCTAGAAGGCCCCAGGTGGAGTTGTTTGCATGGGGTGGATCAAGTCCTGAAGAGGAAGCACCAGATTGTGTATGGAGCTCAATGTCGACCGGTCTGGCGCTCAAAACCGGCCATTGGCCTTTTCAGCATTCTGGAGCTTTGATGACCCTCCAAGAAACGGCGTGTCCCAGATTGAGACTCCGTCAAGTCGACTGTTGCTCCCGAGCCTGTCCCCTATGCGTATAGCCTTTGGGTGTGTGGAAGCCACAAGCACTAGCTCTGCAGCAGCTAACATTTCAAAGTGTTCTTTGGACAAGCCGGTGACAGCAAAGGGAGCAACGCCGACACGGCCGTAAGGTGACTCTCAGAAGGCACCCGGCTATGGTGGTACCAGTAGGGTTACATGAAAACTCAGCCGCCGTTCCCCTTTAGTCGAGACCCGCAAGCGGACTTGTGAATTGCTTGGTCATCACTGCCCGCCTCGGTTTGTCGAAAAACATCCTGCAGCATCGATTGTCGCATTCCGACTTCGCATCGCACCTGTGCAAGAGTCACAGCTGCACATGAGAACCCACAACACGCAGGCTTCAGCTGCCCCAAACATCCCTGTTCAAGAGAAAGCGCCAGCCGCTATCAACCGCATGTCCACGGGCCATGCGTTCACCAAGACTAGGCCATGCATGCCAGGCTGACCTCCTGGCCTTGGACGTTCATGCCACCCCCAACTCCAGAATGACCTGTATGCACTTCGCAGTTTCGAAGAAACAATTGCCCGCCCAGAAGTTCGGCATCGCCGACCACGTGGATGCCACCTCCATGAAGTGAGTCGAAGCTTTTGCAGCGCTCAATGCTGAGGCGCGCTTCTGGTTCCAAGGTGAGGTCGCCATTGACGGAGATGCAGGCGCCCCTCATATTGCCGCCCCTTACGCTCAGCTGCCCTGCAAAGACGGCGCTGCCCAAAAAGTGCAAGGGCTCTGCGAGGAGTAGCTCGGCTCCTGAGCTTGGCCGGGACACTCGGATTATCCGCCTCCGGTCCCTGCTCCCATATTGTTATATGCGAGTACTCTACTGTACTATGCGAAACTATGTCCGACGCTATGATGCGATACCACACGATACCATACCATACCATGCGATTGCTATCACTATCACTGCAACTATCCCTATCTCTTTCTATTCCTAATCCTTTTACTATTACCCTTAACAACAAAAACTACTGCTGCTGCTACTCCTACTCCTACTCCTACTCCTACTCCTACTCCTACTCCTACTCGTACTCCTACTCCTACTCCTACTCCTACTCCTACTACTACTACTACTACTACTACTACTACTACTACTATTACTACTACTACTACTACTACTACTACTACTACTACTACTGCTACTGCTACTACTACTACTACTACGACGACGACTACTACTACTACTACTACTAAAACTACCACTTCGACTACGACTACGACTATTTTTCAATTGAACGCTGCGCGAGCGTGCTCTGCCCTTTGCGGGCGCCTTTGGTCCCGTGCACTCGTGAAACACATGACTTGCATGCATCAAACGCTCTAGTTCCTCTCGGTCTACGCGCTATACTGGGTCTGTTCATCTGTTTCCTCCTCCTCCGCCACCCTGCTGTGAAATGACGCGTCCGTCATACACCTGTTTCAGCAAGTAGGTCGTACTCCTTACGGAGCCGGGGCCCAGAGTACCCGTCTCGTGGCGTCCCACACGGGTTACTCATGCTGAAGACAGAAGGCCGTAAGGATCATCCCTGGGTACCTGCAGAGCTGAAGTCTGACCAGTTGGCAGGTAAGATACTGCTGGCACGCGTTGAGTGCAATGGCCTGCTTATTTTACATCAGGTGGCGCGCGGCAGCACCGTCTTCCGAAGAGAGGGCAAAGCGTCGGAAGAATGTCTTGAATTCCCAGAGGCTGTGCCATGCGGGATGTTGGGAGTCTGTGACATTGCCCTAGGATCAATGGTTATGACCGTGCGGCCACTGTTGAGGAGACTGATAGTATCCTCGCCAGGACCACTGTTGCCACCACTCCCAGTCCTCTTCCTGAGAGGAGCGTGCTGGCCTGGCCCACTGACTCGAGGATGAGGATGAAGGGGCATCGCGTTGGCGTTTGCCCTCAGGATCTGCCTCCCGCGCTTGCGGGCGCTTGTGCGGTGCAGCAGCCGCAGCTAGGCGAGCAAGACGCTTGTCCTCTTCGATCCCCTTGTCATGCTGGATCCGCATCTTCATGATGGACTGGGTGTCCCTCGTGAGCTTGAGCTTGAACATCCGCGCAGGAAATCCAGCCAATTTTGCCGCTTCGTTGTAAACTGTCATGATGGAAGTGGCAATCAGGTTGAACTCGATCCTCGTGGGAAAGTGTCGTTGAAACTCAGGCTCCTTCCACATCTTGTTAAAGCATGCATGGATTAATCCATGCACCTTGGTGGGAGCATCCAGCTCCTGATAGGTTTCGCCAGAGCCCGTGGCAATTGTTACTCGCCCGTCATTGGTGAGGACTCTGCGCACTGACATAGCTATGTCCCAAGTCAGACCTGATTGAGTCTTCACCAGTTTTATGGCTGAGAAGAGTGGAGGCACCTGGCTGAGTGCTGCCACCCTGGAGGACCAAAGGTTGTGCTGCTCCTGGTTGGTGAGTCCCCCCATAATAACTGGGGTCACCAGGATGTTGATAGAAGCAAGCACTCGAATCCAATCCTGGTGAGATGGGGAGCTTAGCATTTGGACGAGCTCCAGTCTGGTATATTTGACGACCTCTGGCGGTGCTGGTTGTGGGACATAACCCACGGGAGGGGCATTCTTTGCCGGGGGCGCGTAAGCCGACGGAGGGCGAGAGGGCGGGGAAGGCGTAGGATCTCGCGGGGTGGAGGGTGCTGGTGCAGCCTGCTCGCGTTGTGGGGGAGCATCCTTGGGAGGCTGAGGGGGGACAGGGGCAGCAGGAATGGCAGCAGGGGGAGCCGGCGCCGGGGGTGGGGAGGAGACCACCGAGGGGGGAGGTCCAAAGCCAGCGACCGTTGACGGCGGAGCTTTAACCGGGAGGGAGGTGGCTGCAGCCTGTGACCTCGCTTGGTTCGCCTGGAATGCTGCTTTCTCCGCTGCTGTGAAGGTAAAGGGGCAAGGGGGGGCAGGTGGTGGCGTGAAGCCAGCTGCTTTGTCAACCCCTTTTGTACGGGTTTTGCTGGGTGGAAGAGGGATCTCTTGTGGCAGCGCGGGTTTGGGGGGTGGAGGAGGGCAGGGCGTGGAAGGTGCAGCCGCCTGGGCTCCAGGTGCTGAGGGCTGTGGCACCGGATCATGCTTGGCAGTAACGAAGTGGTTCTTGATGCCATGGCCTGTGCTGAACTGAATGTTGCGGTTATGCTCTCGAAAAGAGAGGCAGCATAACCACATTGCACCTGATACTTCCATTTGCCCGAGTCCCCGCGGGATAAGCTCCAGCACATCCTGCTCCGCAAGATCCTGATCGTAGTAATGAGTTTCGCGGACTGTGGCCATGAGCTCCGCAAAGGAGTTGTCTTGAATGCTCTCGGCCACATAAAGTTCGATCTCCTCCTGGGTGGGAGGAGGAGGGGCCGCGGTGGCTTTTGTGGTCTGTGACCTAGGTGGCTGAGTGGAGCTGTGCTCTATGGGGCGGGAGTCCCACCTGGATTTCCAGAGATACCTCTGGGACTTGACTCTGCAGCATTCGATCAGTTCGCTCCTTGGTGGTGGGCTCGCCCTGGAAGCCTTTCTGTCACTTCCAACATCTGGTGTAGGCAACCGTGGTGCGGTTGGCCGTCACGAAGAAATGGCCATCATTCTCATAAGTTTTGTTCTTTACTTGCCTGTCCCAGCACTCCTGCAGCAAATAGATGGGACCGTACTTGCCGGAGATGTTCCAGCCTGGTTGGGGATCATGGCCCAGATCCCGGCCCAGGATCTGCCAGAGAAACTTGCAGAAAGTCCTTTGCCGTCAGAACCTGACGGCTGAAAGCGTGTTGTATGGCTTCCCTCATCAAGGGATGGCGAGGCTTGCCATAGATGATGCCCTGAAAAATGTGGTCCGCCTTGACTCCGATGGCCATGACCATGAACTCCTGCGGGAGATGGCCAGGTGGGGAGGGTCTGTGACCCACTTCACCTGCCAGTTGCGAGTGAGCTGTGCTCCAATCTGCTGCCATGAGTTGCAGTACCTGCTCCCAAGGTACCACGAATCCGCATTTGATGTCCACATACAGGCCGCCTCGTTGGTAATGATAAACATAGCGGAACACGTCAGCCCGATGAGCAGGCTGCCTGAGGCAATCCAGCAGATTGGAGCCGTATGTCCCCGCGAGTTTCACCAAGGTGGCGCGGAGGATGCTGTCATCACAGAACTCGCGGGTAAAGCCTGCGAACATCTTGGCTGCAATTTGTGCAGGCTCAGGCTTCTCGTCATGCACGTAGGTCTGGAAGAAAATCTTCGGGACAGGAGCCTGTGCCAACTCCGGGAGGTGTTGGAAGCGCATGCCCCAGGGTCCGTGCCCGTACTGCGTGGCCACCTCAGAAAGCTCTCGAACAGTGCGGCATTGTGACAATGCCTGAGCTGCCAGCATTTCAACATGCATGTCCTGCTGTCTGGCATTCCACCCTGCAACAACAAGGATTGGCAGGCCCGGTCTGTGGCGCATTTCCTCGATGGCTCTTGTCACAAGCGCTGGGATGACAATATCGGCTACCTCCGGTCTGAAATGGAGGTTCTTGGAAGTGTAGAGCTGGTCCACCCCGGGCAGTTGTGCCAAATCCATGATTTCCTGATGGGCCAGGTTTTTGTCCGCAAAACCATATTGGACCCTGCCGTCAATCAGATAATCATAATTGACCTGCTTCTGAGGGAGTAGGCTTCGAGACAGCGGAATGAAGCGTACATTGATTTGCCCATCGAGGTGCTCCTACGACTACGACTACTACTACTACTACTACTACTACTACTACTACTACTACTACTACTACTACTACTAGTACTGCGAATACGAATACGAGTACTGTTACAAGTACACTTACGATGACTATTGAGAATATGATTACAAGTATTGATAAGGCTATTTTTTGTATAACTATGACTACGACCATGATCATAACCTTGTTACCATGAACGTTGCCACTACCAGTTCCAGTACCATTGCTATTGCAATTACAAATATTCCGATTGCTGTTGCTACTACTTCCCTCTCTCAGGTCCCTACTCCCGGTCACCCGGCACGAGGGCCCTTCCAGGAGGACCGCCTCACCCTTTTGCACCTGCACTGCAGGATCCAATACTACGCAATATCTACGCCTATGGATTTTCGGGTCGGATCTTTACGATGTGATCTGGGCGAAGAGCATGCTGAGATAATTAGCAGTGCCTCATGGGATCACTCTTCTTGCGATGTCTGCCGCCCCTGTCGCGTACTTTACCCGCTAATCGACACATTCTTCAGAGTGTGATGCGGAGTTCCCCAAGACACTGTCGGAGCGCTGGGACTTCAAGAGAGATGGGAGGTTGAACATCCGCCTCGTAGCGTCCGTCGAGGTGCAGGAGTCCGTCCGAACACTTTGGGAGAACCTGTCGCAGAGCTTCTCAGAGTCTTTCAATTTGCACGGTATAGTAGAATGTAGCAGATTCTAGCATATTACGGTGAGCTATAGTATTGAAATATGTTCTAGTATCTTATAGTGCATTATATTATTCCGGAGGTTGGTATGGGGTCTCACGGCCCTGGCAGGCATTTGAAGTCCGTTTCGGGCGAAGACCGTGACGTGTGCAGGCCGAAGCAGACCTGCATGTACTGTTTAGTATAGGGTATACTATATATTGGATTATCGTATGTTCATGTATATTCTAAAGACTGATATAGTATAGTATAGTATAGTATAGTATCGTATAGTATGATAGAGTAAAATAGAGTATAGTTCAGTATAGCGTAGTATAGTCCTGTTTGTCTGGTGCCTTGACATCCGTTCGAGTCCCATTGCCCGTCTCCTGCACAGCGGCGTACACAAGAGAGCCGTGCAGCAGCAGGAGGCAAGGGCGGGGGCGGACATGCACGTAAACTGCACGATAAGCCTAGCACGGCTGTAGAGAGCGGTAGTCTAGTCATCTTACACATCACAGTAGGAAATTATCAGGCGACTACTCGCGAAGCCCTGAGCTCCGTGGACAGCAAGCACTGCTTTGCTTTGCTTCTCCTGCTGCTCAGGCTCCGTGGCAGCATGACCTCGGGCTGTCCCGCCGATCTCCCAAGGATTGCCACAAGGAGACCGGGAACCCAAAAGCTTGGCACGGCGCGTCGAGTCAGGAAGCTATCGGCTTCCTCCACCAGCAGCTGCTGTTCGGCGAGGCCTTCGAGAGTGGAGACGCAGCAGGCCCCCTCAGAACAACTCCTCCAAAAACTAAGCCCTGCGCGTTCCGCCGACAGGAGATGAAAGGAGATGGCGGTGCTCAAGAGCCAGCGCACGGCCATGTGGCCGTGGCCGAGGGGCTCGCTCAAGAGCCGCTGCCCATGGACAACACGGCAGTTCTTAACTTTCACAAACCTACACGTAGACCACTGCCCGGGGCAGAAGCCTCTGAGCCCCACGAGCTGCGGGCGGCAAGGAGAGGTCTGGCTTCGGGCCTTGGACCACAGACGCTACTCAGTCTAGTCACTTCAGGGTGGTGGGCGGCAGCGACCTCATGTTGCAAGGGCTGATGCAGTGCCAGGTCAACCCCGCAACGAGTACAACACAAGACAAAACTTGACAAAACCGTCAACCCCACGTTGCAAACCCAGGCTTGGTCTTGTCCGGGCTCATCGGAAGCGGCTTCCGAAAAAGGATGTGCAAGGCCCTTTTGCTGCTCTTCGCCATAAGAACGCTCTCACGAAGCTCTGCTTGCTCCGATTGGGCAAACATCGGAGTTTCCGAAAACTAGGGTACCTTATTTTGGGGTCCTGATAACAAGGATCCTACTATTTAGGGTACTATATTAGGGTCCCAAATTATCGGAAACCCCCACATAGCCGCCGTAGGCCCTGGGCCTCGCTTCACCTGGTAGAGGCTTCTTCAGTCTCTATTGGGCTTGCACCGGCAATTATGGACAATGCCATGGCCATGATATACAATACGATACTTTACTATACCATACTAAACTGCACTGTACTGTACTCTACTTGACACGATAAAGAGCTAGCCTATAGGACACTACTATAAACTAAATGTCTGACATACTGTATACCGTATACTACATATTGCTTGTTTTTGCGACATACTGTATACGAAATCTATATACGCCATACGGTATACTATAGCCTATCTATTGTACTCTAGAAACTATGCTATATTGTACTACACGACACTATACCATATACGATACGATGCCATACGTACACTAACGTCTACCGGGGGGCTGCTTCTTGGGGTTCAGTGACAACAGCTAACAAGCGTTTAGTGTTTTTAGGCTTTGGGGATTTCATCTTCAATTTCATTGGACCTTGGGTGCTACATTGCATGACGATAGGAATGCCTCGAAGCAAACGGACACCCTAAGACCTGGTTCAATGTATTAGCACTTGTTCAATACCAAGTTACTAGAGGATGGACTATCGCACCGGCGCCTGACATTGGAGTCCCTCTGCAGCATAGTCCTCGATAAAATCTGGATCGCAAGAGATCCCCAACTCCGAAAATCCCGAGAGACACAGCCCGAACTCGACAAATGTCTTCAAGAACCCTCCACTGTCCACCCGAGTCCACCACCCCCCCCCCCCATCCCATCACTTCTCTCTACACAGGAGACCCCCACTGGCGAGCCTCTGCTCACGCTTCCTCCGCTTTCTTTGCCTCGGCCCTCTGGCGCCGCTCCTCCACGTAGGCCAGGGAGAAGGCGAGCAGCATGACGATGCAGATTCCCTCAGCTTCGGTGAAGCTGCCGCATATTAACCTCTTGAAGCGCGAATAAGTTCAAAAGGAACGAGGGAGGGAGAAAGGCAACACCTGCTTCCAAGGGAGCCAACATGGACCGGCAAGGCCAGAGAAAGGCTTGGAACCTCAAAGCCGCAGCAGCCAGGTGTCTCCGGCAATGGAGCAGATAAGGAAGACCAGAGCTCGCTGCAGCCAGGTAGACTTCGCCCAATGCCGGTCGATGGCCTCCGCTTCACAAGTAGCTGAAAAGGTGCACCGAGAAACCACCCACTCCCCATAAGTGCAAGCCGGCGGCGATGATGCAGGTGGTCAGCCCGGTGATGGTGAGGCTCACGATCAGCAGCCCGATCTCTGCTCGGTTCCAAGCATCTTCCTCGCACGAGGTCAAGCAGCATGCGCCTAGAACGCACTCCACTCAGGGCCAAAATGGAATCCAGAACCTTCCAGGGGAAACCAGACAGAACTCAATTGGGTCGGGTGGCCTTGTAGGGCCAAAAGTACAGATGCGCCACCAGGGATGCGATGAGCACCAAGGTCACGGCTTCCATCTGGAGGGCCTGCAGCGCAGTACTATATGACATACATAGGTATACAGTATACATGTGACATACATACGTATAAACCTATGTACACACGCACGGTTTTGCCCTCGGGTGCTGAAGGCAAAGCTTGGGTGGTGCAACGGGCTGTTGGGCGGCCGCTGTGCCGAGGAGCCGGAGCCAGGGTGACCGGCAGCAGGGCGGCGATCATCGCAAGGAGCACCTGGCAGAGGTTTCTCGGGTTACAGCAACAAGACCCTCATCAAGAAAGAAGCCGGTTTCCGGTGTCTGTTGAGTCAAGAAGCATGCTTTTCGTCTTTTCTACGGCTGTGCGCAAGCCATACTCCATGCAGAATATCTTCGGCACAAGAACTGTAGGTGCTCGTGAGCTAGAAGCGTAGGGTGCCCACCCTCTGATTTGAATTGTCCTGCTTCACTGCACATGTTCCTGGCCCCCCGGCCTTACGCAGCAGCCGCTCGACCTGGCGCACAGGCTACACACACACGCGCCCCAAGAGCTGAACCCGATACATCGAGATGTAGGCCTGCTTCTCTGCAGAGGCAAGAAAGCAGTAGGACACCGCAACCTGTATAACCCTAAACGATGACGACGCCCGGCCTCCCAAATGGCACACTCTGGACGATAAGCCTGCATCAGATAGGCCACATGAGGCCGTGGCTCCTTCGGCGATCGGGTTCTGACCTGACATCTGAGTTTTGGCCTGTTCGTCGGCTCTGGCACAGCGTCTCTGGCAACCGAGGCACGGCGTAGATCCAGCTGCACACGCTCAGCGCCGAGAAACCAACGATGGCGCTCAGCACTGCCGCGATCCGCAGCAGAACGTGGGAAGTCATCTGCGGTCCGGGGGGAAGGAAGTCCAAGTGCAGCGCCTAAGGCTTACGTGTGCGCTGCGGGCGCGGAAACAATCAATTCAGCAAATCGATGGCTTTTGAGAGCGAGGCACGCTGAGGGCCTGGTCCTCGTCAGATTCAGGCCGCAGCCGAAAATACACGAGGTACCTGGGCATCGCGACTTGATCGCACATGCGGAGGCAGCAAAAGGACTGTGGAGGCACGACACTTTCCGAATCCGGCGATGAAGGCTGGCAAGAAGACGTTGCTTCCAACCACGGCTGCGAGCCAGCCGCCCTTCATCACGGCAAGGCCTGCCTGAGATCCGGTGAAGAAGAGGTTCCAAACGAACAAATTCCGATAAAGGTTGCCGTTCCGGCGCAGAGACCTTCGATGCGGTCCGGGGTGCCACAAGCATGGCTGGCCACAGGGACATCAATGCGTGCACGTAGTGGATGCCGCTGTCCGTGTGAAGCAGCTGCAGCAGGCACTGTCCGGACATGCTGCCGGCATCGCGGGAGCCTTGCCCCTGTGCGACGGATGCCGGTAGAGCCAGCATTTGCAGGGCCACCTGCGATGCCAAGCGATACCATGCAGGCCACCACCAGTCAATGCGAGCAGTAGATGCAAGCAGCATGAGCACGAGAGAGTGGGCTCCTGTGCTGCATTGTCGAGATCGTTCTTGAAGGTGGCGGTCTGCATGGCGCCCGACCTCGGGAGCTCAGCAGATCTTAGCACGAAGCCTTTGTAGGTCTGAGCCTGAAGCTTGTTCTCTGGGCACGGCTTCTGTTCCGAGGCACATGGTGACGCCGGCTACGGCCGCAAAGGACATCGCCTGGTTCAGCAGCGTGGCACTGGTGGCTCTCTGGCCCTTGCTGCCCTCCACCTCAAGACGCGAGCAGCCACGGCGCAAACATCCCATCTCAACCTGGGGCTCCGGCACTCACCACCGCCGAGGCGAAGAGGGCCAGGTTCTTCAAGAGGAAGAAGCCGACGTACCACACCACCTGGGGAAAATTTTCACCGCGGCCGCCTCTGCCTTTTGCCTCCGCAGTTTCTCGGCCTTCTTGGGTGCGCCGGTCCAAGTGGCGCAGCGGATGCACCGCAGAATGTCCGCATCTGCACGTGCGTAGCCTTCAATGCAGCTCGTGCACCTCGAAGTTCAGAGTCTCAAGGAAGCGCTGCCCTCCGGCTCCCGCTTTCTTGCTATCATCTTTCTTCGTGTGCCTACAGCCCACCGAGCAACTAAGGGGCATGGAGAAGTGTGCCCCCAGCGCGACAGTAGTCCCGAGCACTTTGAACCCAAATAAGCCAAACTGCACATTTCAGTTCATGCAGAACCATGCGACTCGCTCTGTCTCCCTCTTTCTGTGCACTGCCCACACAATAACAAAGTCTTGTTCTGGACCTTGCGATGCATTGCAGCATGTTTCCATTGCAAGCAGTGAGGTGGTGATGTGCCTTTTCAAACAGACCTGCACGTCTGTTGCTCGGCAGCAAATCAGCATGCGTCGATCTGTCGTCCTCTGTACTCCTTTGGCGGTGGTGCCTTGTGGCTTGGACGAGAAAGGAGCCAGAGTCTCAATCGATGCTTTCGGAGGTTTGTCCCCGTTCTGAGCAGCTCCTTACGATTAGCAGCCGCTGCGCCCGAAAGTCGGGGCTCTCTCTCTCTCTCTCTCTCTCTCTCAGGGTCTGTGGCTCTGTCATATTTGCACCAAGTATCCCGGGACCGCGGTAGCCCTCTTCGCACATCGGAACCAGCTCCTGGGCGAGATCTAGCCCCGGAGTCCCACCCGAGATCCACGGCCCAGTCCTGCACCGGCTCGCCAGGGATGCTGCTGGCATTGAAGTGTCCGCCGCGGCAGGCCTTAGCCATTACAGCGCCTCTCGCAACACCCCTGATCCTGTCAGGATCTGTCCTCGCAATTCCACTGAAGCATGCTGAAGCCCAAGAGGCCATCTCGTTGGGGCACCGGTACCAGCCGGAGAGATCGTTGGCCACAGTATGATCGAAGTCCACCTCTCTGCGAGATGATGGACCCAAGATGAGTTTGGGCTCGGCTGCGCTCTGAGCCTCGAGGCCCGGACCATGTATCCGGGCGGGAGCTTCAGCTCAGTTGGCGTGCAGTCAATGGTGAGGTTGCCCATGTTGGGACATGCGGTGCACCGCGCATCCTTCTGACAAGACTGGGATGCACGTGAATTGTTCCGCAGTTATCGATCACCGCCTCCCTCGGACTGCAGTGGGGATAAGAGCCTAGGAACGGTTGAAAAATTGGAACACTGTCTCGTCAGACCAGATCACGTCATGAGCATCAGAGCCAGATCGAAACCCGACAACAAGCTCACAGCATTTAAGACCATATCCCAAAAGCAGTCCAGCTAACCCCGAGCATACAGCTTCATGCTGGTGCTGCGAGTCATGGCCTCGCCCTCGCTATTTGCCAAACCTCTAGCTCTCGAAAACCTCTACTGGCTCACATCGATCTGCGCAGTCTCCACCATCCCGATACCGGAGTTCCAGCTCGGCTCCCTGAACCCCTGACCGACCGAGCCTCCTCCGGCGCTAGGAGGCGGATCTCGTCTGCCGGGCATTCCTTGCACTCCTCGCCGCCGTCTGCCAGCGGTTGTCGGCTCTCCCCTTGCGGACACAGGAGCCGCGTAAGATTCAGGTGCTCGACAGACAGCGTGCAGCCGGGTGCATCGCGGCAGTCGACTGCGCCAACGGTGATGCTCGCATTGGCCCGGGAACCAAGAACTGAAGACGCTGACTGAAGCCTCGAACCGGTGGCAACTGTCACGTTGCCGAGCCTTGCATGGCCGTAAGCGAGCTCTAGGCACCCTGAAGTCGGGGCTTTGCAGCGGCTGCAGCGAATTTCCTGCGCCACGAGCTCGATTTGTGCGTAAATGCCACCGCCCGTCGCATCGGCTTCACACTCCGTCAACAGGAGCGTCCCAGCAAACCTACCCACTCCGGCCACGTAGAAGCAGCCACCGAAAATCTCAGCTCTGCTTCTGGACACGTAGAGCTGCTCCGCCTGGCTGGAGCAGAAATCCGTACATGCGTACTGTATGCGTGGGAGGGCCGACTGACACGTAGAAAGGGAAGCTTCCCTCAGCAAGCATTTCTACTCCCTGCCTTGTTGGTGATCCAAGTTGCGAAGATGCCGCCACCTTTTTCTGCCTTGGAGTCGCTGATGCTCAGCGTGGCGATCTCCCCAATCGTGATGTTCTGCGAGAAGATACCACCTCGCTACTGCGTCAGCCGACATGCGCATGCTCGCAGCGTCCTCGAATCCAAAACCCCAAACCACATCAAACCACAGAACCACCGTCGGGCCCCGACTGGGCCTCCTCTGCTGGCTTCGCAGCCCTGGAGGCGAACGACGCCCCCGGACTGCGCGAAGCTCTGAGCCGCATAGACGCAGCCTCCCGCGGGCCCGGGCGGAGGGGCTCAGACCAGTTTCAACGATTCTGAAGCTCACTGTGTCACGCCGGCAAAAACGGTTTTTGGCTTCACATTCCACACTGAAAACCTCGAGCTCGAGCAGTCGAAGATCGCTTCGCCCCAGACTTGCGAAGGCCCCGAACTGCTACCTCCTCCGATACTATCGTATGGTTCGTATAGTAGCAAGTTATAGCATGGCACATTTCCTAATTAGAGGGTCGGCATCCGTCTCTGCAAGTCCCTGTCTCTCGTGACATGACTCGGTCATGGTCACTCGTTCTCCCTCCGCCCATGGGATTTCTTCCACGCAAGCACGGTATGCTGTCTCTCTTTGGACACAGGCACAGGCCCTCCCACGTCCAAACCGAGACCGCAAGCGAGGCGAGTAACCGGAGTGCCGAGCGGCTCACTGCGGTGTCGTGCAGCTGCCAGAATTCGTGTCAACAAAGGCGTCCCAGCATGGTGTGCATGGTTCGGACATCCAGTGGGAGGGTCCCTTACGACAGGCCCGCGGTGACCGTCTCACGTGGATTGGAAGCATAAAAGAGCTATGGGACCTCTACCCGCATCCACCTGCCAATTAAAGTCCGGACCCAGGCAGAGATACAAGACCACGGAAGGCTCAGCCTCTACAGACGCCCGCGCAGGCCACGTGATGAGTATGTGTAGACTCAACCATGCAGTTGCCGTTGATCGATGGAAGCTGTCAGTGTAAACAGGCAACACTTGCCGCAGGTGCTGCACTTGCATCCCGAATCCCGGCCTCCGGCGCTGGACGCCTGGTCTCCACATTTAAGACGAGACTCGATGATGGTCACGACTCCACCAGATACGTTCACCTTCGGAGCGTGGATAGCACCTGCACGGAGACACAGGCCCTTAGATCCCTCCTTGGCGCCTCCAGAAGCTCCGGGAACTCGCTACCCTGCGCCCTTAAGGAGCCTGGGAACCCTAACCCTCCCTACACACACGTTCGGCGTGCCCAAGTGCTACAAATTGCAAGCTCCACTCCGCCGCCTCCGTTCTCACAAGCCAAAGAGTCCTGTATTGTCAGGTTACCGCCGGAGGCCACCATGCGATCCGCCACGAAGATCCCACCTGCATGCAGGTAGCTGCCAGAAAATGCAAATCGGCCATATTCCATGGTACTGTAAGCCACTTTAGCTTACCAGGTTCTGACATATTCTAAAAGATCCTCTGCTGTAGACTTTTATGTTGTGTAACATAAAAATGTAAGACAGAACCTTCAAAATTAGGGCTGGGTTCCCTGGTGCCTCCAAAACAGCCCAATAAGAACAGACGCCCCGGCACGAGAGAGTTCACTGGTTCACACACCGTAGCCCCCTCAACCTGTCGAGCGCAAGATCTCGTGTGAGGGGTGAATCTCAGTCCCCTTTCGACTTACCTTTGGTTAGTAGGGAATGGAATGATGGTAATGATAGTAGTTTTAATTATACCCCATTCCTCCATTCCCTACTAACCAAAGGTAAGTCGAGCAACCACAGCTGGCAAAATCTTCCTGTGAGTATCTGCTATGTAACTTGAACACACAGCTGTGGGGCCAACTCGGGGACCGAGTACAGCTTGTCTTTGCAGACATCCCTTGAACCTGCATCGCCCCCAAGGAGCAGTAAAGGTCGTGAAGCACCGTGTACCACTTCTGAGGTCTCAGTTCATGTCCCAGCACCAAAGCGCGACACAAGTCACTTGCCTCCATCCTTTCGAACAGCCTCAGAATCTTGGATGGTCAGGTTGCCACCGGACATGATCATCTGCACCACCCAGATGGCACCTGCATGCGTGGCAGAGCCGCTCGACAACTGAAGGACGAACGAGCGAATGCAAATTGCTCATGGCGGGCGACGATGTACATGTGTATGAACTTCATTCGATTCCCGAAGCAGCACAAGAGAACCCTGTAAACACACCATAGCATGCTCAACACAAGTGGATTTGGGTCTCCTTACAAGTCACTTGATCTGACGGTCTTCACCTGAGGGGTTAGCATTTCCAGCCGCGCGCTCGAATGTCCCTCTGCGGGCTGAAGAGCCCTCGTCCAAGGCCCCCTCTCCCCCCTGCCTCCATTCTCTTCGACAGTCTTGGAGTCCACGATGCTCAGGTCGCCACCGGACATCAGCATTTCCCCCACCCAAATGGCACCTGCGTTTGTGGAAGAGTCACTCGGTTCGTGAGACAGCAAATTGCTGCAGGGTCAGGCTACAAGCCACACAACTGCCCTAACACAACGGGGTCTTGCGATCTCGATATCCAATGAGTCAAGGCCATGACAAACAATGGCAGTAGTACCCACCAATCCGACTTTCGAAGGAGGTGGTGGTCATTTCTAAGAGCTGGTCCGCGGGCCCCTTGCAGCTGCTTCCGCTGCAGGGCAGCGAACCAAGCAGTACACGCGGTCTTCTTGCGATCCGTGGTCAAAAGTCCCTGGACCAAGCAAGCCAATCCCCTGGCCTCCATCGTGTTGAGCCTTCGACTGCGTGATGCTCAGGTTGCCACCGGAGAAGACCATCTCCGCGGCCCAGATGGCACCTGCGCGCAAGCACGCAAGCAGCAAATGCAAATCAGTCTGGGCCTTGCTCGACGTATGCCCGAAGACATCGTTCAGGGCAACCCGGGTGACCCGAAAAGTTTAACTGAGCAGCTGTAGGCTCCCACAACATCGAGAAGGAGCCCAGCCCAAAGCCCATTTGCAGCTGTGTTCAAGATTCCGCTGGGCATCTTTGTCATCACAAGACGTACACAGCTAACTCACTCACCACATCGCACAGCATGCATTGAAATTGTCCTTCCCTTCCCGAGCACCACCCACCTCCGAAACCCGCACGGCATCCCGCTGCGTCGATGATGGTCGTATCCCAATGTCGCATGGAACCTGTGCAAAAGTCACGGCTGCACCGTAGCGCAGTAGGGGCTGCAAGCAGATAGCCGATAGCAGCCTCCGACATGGATGCCGCCTCCCTCACCGTGATGATCAGGCCCCACTTCGCAACCACGTAGAAGCAAATGGCCACGAAGTTCGGCGGCGCTGTCCACGCGGAGACAACCTCCTTGGCCTTTCTGATTCTGATTCTTGCAGCCCGCCAGACTGAGGCGTGCATTGCGCTCCAAGGTGAGGTTGCCCTTCACGGCGACGCAGGGGCTGCTCAGGGCGTCGACGGCCTTTACGCTCAGCTGCCCTGCGAAGACGGCGCTGCCCTGGAAGCGCACCGGCGCGGAGAGCACCAGCTCTGCGCCTCGGCTTGGTGGCTTTCCCTGGTAACCTCAATAACCCTCGGCCTCGGGCTGAGCGCTGAGGGCCCCACTCCCTGTCACTCGGCATGAGGGCCCCTGCACGAAGACCTCCTCCTTCACCTGAGACACTGCGGCTCCGTGGCTCAATGTTTCAGCAGGAAGTTGCGTCTGAAAGAAACAGACGCCGGGGTCAGCTCAAATACTGCAAGGAGGGACGGGACAGGATCAACTTTCACCACCTAGCCTGAAAGTCTTGGATGGGCCTCGTAGCGTCCGTCGAGGTGCAGGAGGCCGTCGGAACACTTTGGAAGGCCAACCTGGACTCCGAGCTTTGCAGCTTTGCAGTTTGCCGAGGTTGAGGTTTAAGGCTTAGAGTCTCGGGTTGAGGGTTGAGGGGCATCTTCGGTTAACTTTGAGTTTTCTAACGACGGGCAAGGCGATGAGAGTCGAACGTTTCTAGCGTCTTCGGCATTGTCACATGGCGTTCCACTTCTGCCAAGTCCGGACATTAGTACCGACTGGAGCCCTAAAGAAACCCAAACTTCTTGCAGAACTCGCAAAAACCCCAACATCTGCACAAGGACTGACTCTCGCGCCTTTACATCTGTTCGGGCTCCATCCGCCGTCTCCTCGGGGCACGGCTCGGGAAGCTTGCCCCGAGGGAGCATTTTTCACTTTCAACACACAGGGGCAAGAAATGCTCGCACATGGGAGGGTCCTGTATCCCATGAGCGACAAGCGATGCTTTGCTCTGCTTCTCCTGCTCGGACTCCCTAGCACCGTGACCTCAACTGGGACCGGCCCAGCACACGCGAAAGCCTTGTGACAGGCGACCTTGGCCCTGCACGGCGAGTCAGGAAGCTGTCGACTTCGTGCAGAAAGAGCTGCTCCGCAACGCCTGCAAGATGTGTGCAGCAGGCGGAACGGCCCCATAGACGAAGGCCAGAGCTGAGCGCTGCACGTTCTGCCGACGGGAGACATGAGAGGATGGCAGAAATCAAGAGCCAGCGCACGATCATCTGGCCGTGGCCGAGATGCTCTTACGCGCCAGGGCCCACCGACGACATGAACGTTCCTAGCTTTCGCAAACCTACGTGATACACTCACTGCCCGGGGCAGAAGCCTCAAAGCCCCATCGGCTGCAAATACAACGTGTAGGTGCGCATGCTCAGGGCTCCGGAATTCCACACGAGGGAACCAGCACCAACAATAACGAAAGGACGAACGGTACACATCTCCGCTTTCAGAGGAAATCGAACGGAGAAGGGCAATTCCAAGAAACGATGCAAGCACGCGGCATCACTTGCAAAGTAACAATCCGCGAGATTTCCTTCCCGCCACAGGACACAAACCCGAAGCGAACCCTGACTCGCGTTGTCCAAAACACCCAACCCGTACGGCAAGAAGTCGAAATCACCCTCGTTTGGGAAACCGTTACAGAGTTTCAAAAACAGAAGCAACTGCATAACCTTACAAACCTATTGATCCAGACTGTCTGCACCGGCTGAAAACCGTGCACTTCATTCAATGGGCTTCTTGGTGACATGAACATCATCACGAGGGATTGATCTTTCAAAACCAGCGCACCTTGAATTGTGCTCCCTGCATTGTGCTGCACCTTTGAAGGACCACTTGTCACAAGATATCTTGGGGGGCCTGCAAGGCTGGAAATGGCTGAAAATTCGGCATCGACAAGCCAAACTTGAAATTGAAAACTACAATCCTTATTTTACAAACTGAAACGGTCGAAAAACACCTATTCGCAAAACCTCAACACGAGCTACCAATGGAAACCTGCACGCGGCCATTGGCCAGCTCACCTCTTGGATACGGTATGCAAGTAGCAAATCCATTGCCACCTGTCTTCATGGCGAGATCCTAACACCCTCGATATTGTCAGATGATGTCAGATGCGAACAAAGCAGGGAAAGGCACCCGGGAAGCTCGTAACCATGTTGGTGCGTCCAAGCCCAAATACCTTCAACCAAGATGGAAAACCGTCGAAATTGTTTTTACGCAATCTAGAAAATGATTTGAAGAAGTTTTCGGAGAAAAACCATTGAACGGTTCAACAATCTGGCCAAAGATTATATGGGGAAAGTGCAGAAAGCGTTCTATGTGGAAATTTGTAACATGCAAATCGTTGCCATCTGTGCTTGACTCTGCCCCAAGCTCCAACCCACACACTGATCCAAATCTCAAACTTTGCACACAAATCGACTTTCAAACTCGAACACACAATCGCAAATGGGTTGCGATGCTCATCTGCAGCAATCCGATGAATTTAACACATTCAAAACTGCACAGTTGAGTCTGCAGGTTACGCTCTTGTTCTTTTGGTTGGTTGCAGCCTATGAATCAATCAGCATTCTGTCTGCGGTTGCAAGTGAACACGTAAGAGTATCCTGCCGCGTGTATTGAAATACTCCATGCGTATGTTGGTTCCAAAGCGCGCCAGTGCTGCAGTTCAGCTTCTTGGAACTCTACACATGTGCTTAGAGCCTCATTCACGGCACTATACAAGTAAGCAAAAAACGGTCCCACAGAGGTATGGCTTCTGGACATCGCACTTGGCCCAGACAGTGGAATTCAACATTCAGTTTCAGCGAAAAAGGCGTTGATTTTCAAAAATGATTGGTTCGTGCTGCCGATTCACCGCGACACAGCGTGTGACTGCAGCAAGACTGACCAAGTCGAACTGTTACTTTCTGTTCCAAGCTACAAGATGGCGGACTTGAGCTTTTGTTAAAGAACGGGCTTCACTAAGGGTTCCTACCTTCACAGACTGTCGGACACTTTTGCTTTCCTGGGCACGTGTGTCCGGGGTCTCGAGCCTTCACGTCGCGTGTGCGTGACGGCTGTTCCTTTACATTAGCTACACTGCATTAGCGGTGTTACTGTTCCTGGCAAGATGTTTAACACCCCGCCTTCGGAGTTAGCGAAAGTTCCTCGACTGAGGTGACTCCGACTTTTCCTGAACAGACAGTAAACACGATGCAGTTCCTTTTCACTACAAAACAAACGCTGTTCCTCGTTCGCAAACGTTTCCGTTCACTCGCAATCCTCTCCAAGGTTGCTAGACTGTACAAGACTGTTCCTGAACTTACTTAGATCACCACAGAAACAAAAAGGGCTGTGCCACGGTTCCTGTGTGTGTCCTGCTTCACTGCTCTTTCCTCGGCTCTCTGGCCTCAGTACTGCTCGCTGTTCCTTTGCTTCACTGGAAGTTCACTTCTTTGCTTCCTTCTTCTTCTTCGCTGTCCTTGGTGACTTCCTGCTGCTCCTCAAGTTGTGCCTTTAGCCACTCTTGACGTTGCTTTGCCTGCGACTTGCACTTTTCCTTTCCTTGCTTGTCCTTTGACGCTGCTTTCCAACCAGTTTCCTTTGATCCTGAATACCAGTACCACTTTTCCTTCTCTTCGTTCCACTTCCACTGGTAGTTCCTGCCTTGGAAACCGTAGACTGCAAACCAGTTTTGTTGCTACATGCGCTTGTGTCAGTTTGCCTCAGGCAGATGACGGCACGACAAGATTTTGCTCACCTGTGTGTAGAGAATCCGTCTCTGAGCTCGGCACTGACAGCTTCAAGCTGCCAAATCCCGGTCCAAAGAAACTAAACCCCTTGACAATGGGAGGGTTCTCCCAGCAGCAGCCCCTGGCCTTTGAGAGCCCCGACAGTGTGGAGACAGCAGACAGTTGCAAGACGCGTTACAGCTGCGCACTGCCCCATCCTGCACTGACCACGGTTTCAGGATTACATTGGCCATCTTGGCACGCTCTGAAGGCAACAATAGCCCTTCATTGTTGCTACATGCGCTTGTGTCAGTTTGCCTCAGGCAGATGACGGCACGACAAGATTTTGCTCACCTCCGTCTCTGAGCTCGGCACTGACAGCTTCAAGCTGCCAAATCCCGGTCCAAAGAAACTAAACCCACACACACCAGGCGGCTGGCGACCATAAATCGCCGAAAAGAACTATCTACGCAGAACAAGAATGCCCTCAAGGGCAGTCAAGATGTGGCTTGACTCATCATGGCTGGCACAGACCATGGAAACCCACACTGCTCGACACAGAGCCCAGCTTTGCCATCAGCTGGTTGCGCAATCACACACCAGACCGTGCGTGAATGGCACACGTTGCCCCCGGTGTCAAGCAGCTGAGTGTAGGCGAGACTTTCAAAACCAAAAACCTCAGGGAACACCCTCAATCTAAAACCCAGTTGCACGGGTAGGGTTTGGACGACGTCGGCGTCCTCGCGATGGTGCATCTGCCGGGTTGTGCTCCGTCGGCACGTAAACCAGGCGCAGCAAGCTGTTGGTGGAAAGTAGCAATGCAGCAAGCTTGCGCAGCACTCCTCGGATGACTGGAGCTGACGTGCGTCCCTTCGTGGCTGCGCCCAGGACTGCCTTCGCATCAACGAGCACCACGATGCGCCGGTTGAAGTTTCGCTTGCTCCTCAGGGCCCACTTGACAGCTAGCAGAAGTCCACGTGCCTCAAGCACACCTGAGTGTGCCTTCCATTTTGCTTTTGCGCTGATGGCTGTGCGAAACCTTGACGGTCGTAGTGGCAACGTATGTGGAGTCCCTAACCGGTCTTTTGCTTTAGGGGCACCTGGCTCGGGAAAAAACTTGATGTAGTCACCCCGGCGCTCTGCAAGAGACCCCACCTTTTCGGTAAGCTTACTAGAGCAACGAAAGAAACTGACTCCAAAACCGAACTGCGGAGCTGCATCACACGCAATGAGTTGCGGAAGGAAGCCTCTGCTCAAGTCAGCTCCAAGCAAAGGCATTAGCAACGCTGCCACTGCAAGTTCTGTCCACACGGCGTCTGGAAGAAGAAACGAACATGCCTGAGGTTCCTTCCTGACGAAGTCATAGACCTTGTCGAAGATGCTGAACATGGGCCTGTTGAGTAGGCAGAACCACTGCTCAACTCCGAGCAACCGAGACAAACCAACCGGAGTCGCTGTACGCTGCGCCAGCACATCCAAAAGAGCTTTGAAGGCCAAAGTTAGCTTACCAGAGTCGGGCTCCACTGCAGGTGGCTGAACAGTCAGCTTGCAACCCAAGGCAGTCATCTCGGTCTCCAAAGTCACATCCTTCGACTTATTCTTCGGCATGCCGTGACCGGCAAGTGCCGCATCCAAGCGGCACAAACGCTGAGCCCCAACTGCCTTATCTTTGTGAATGAAGAACGTATCATCTGTGGCGACGCCACAAACTTCCGGACCTGTAGGCACTGCTTGCTCCATGGTCATGAAGTTGGCTGCTGCGACCCCGGCCTCTTGGCAACACGCCACAGTGCATGCCTGCGCCACGCAAGAACTCCAGCTGAAGCCCATGGGCCAGACAGCGCTGGCTGGGTAGACCAACTGCTTGGGCTGCACAGCATCATGAAGGTTTGTCGGGAGGTACTTTCGCAACTCGTCAACTTCAGCACCGCTAACCTGGCTGAGCTCAGCAAGGGTTATTGGTGGGCGTCCGAACCACTCTTGCAGACCACTTGGTGCTTGAAGGACGTCAAAACATGTGTGCACGTCCCGCTTGGACATGTAAATGCTTTCTCCTTCTCTGAAAAGCAAGTCCACAAAGCAGCTTGGGTTTGCCAGCAGCATAGGCCTCGGAGGTTTTACGGCCATACCCGAGACAGCCGTGCCATTCCAAATCTCACGCTGTTTCGAAGGGTCCGACTTCGGGACGCAGAAGACATCGCCGACCTGACGCACGCGGGTCAGCAGCACCAGTTTTCCACACTGCAGCTGCCGATGAACGAGCTTCAAGTACTCTCCACGCTCTTTTCCAGTCGGCACAACGGCCGAGGCATGTCCCTGCTCAGCGGTTTGGAAAATAGCACCAGGGTCGCACACATTCCTGGCAAGTTCGGCAGGTAGAAGCGTCATGGGATCACAAGTGCCCGCTCGGTCAGGCAAGTCCACCGCCTCGGCTTGCAACTTGGGGTACTTAACTCCACTCGGGCTTTCGAAGCTGCGAAAAGCCCTCTCCCAGCTCTCGGTTTCGGAGGTGCCACTGTGCAGTTCGACCAAGAAGCGATTGCAGCGATGAGCTACATGGTCAATGGCTTGTTGCTGCGCGGCAGTTGGGCTGCTGCGGCAGCCTTGCATAGCGCAACCACTGTGCATGTCGCCAGCAAGCAAATTCAGGGAAGCGATGCACATGTTCAGAAACGTCAAGGCTGTCTCAATGGTACATGGCAAGTGCTTCACTCCTGGTGTCCACGTTGTAGCCGGGGGCAGTGGGAAAAGCTCGCACTGCCGACCCTGTTGTGTCAGACCTCCTTCGCTGCCAATCCACTGGCACCAATACTGGGTGAAGCAAGAGCTTCTGTGACTAAGAACGCTGTCTAGCGCATCCCTCAAGCCACATCTATGCTCCTGACTGCCCAATCGCTTTTTGTGGGCCCAGCATCGAGCAAAGTCACGACGGAGTTTCGAGGGAGATGCGTGTGGTCTCTTGTAGGAGCAAGACATTGCAAGAAATGACGATCTGCGGCGGATGACCAAGGACTCCGCAAAAAGCCACTCTCACCAACAGTCCCAACCACACGTCATGGCAAGGAGAATTCTCCCAGCAGCAGCCCCTTTGAGCCCCGACAGTGTGGAGACAGTAGACAGTTGCAAGACGCGTTACAGCTGCGCACTGCCCCATCCTGCACTGACCACGGTTTCAGGATTACATTGGCCATCTTGGCACGCTCTGAAGGCAACAATAGCCCTTCATCCTTCAAACTCTCCACGGCCTTTTCCTTTCAAGTACGACGCTTCGTTCACTGGTCCTTTGGCGGAAAGTTCTGGGTCGTCCTTGTCTTCCTTCTTCTGCTTGTGCTGTGTTACGCTTGGTGGCTCCTTTCCTTCTTCTCTTCCTTTTCCTTTTCCTTCTGGCTTCTCCTGCTCCTTTGTTGGTGTTGTGTCTGGCTCTGTGGGTGCCTGCGACCCGGCTGCCGATCCTCTGCTCTCAAGCTCCTGTGTGAGGCTTGCAATCCTTTCCTTATCCTCCTTACGTTCCTTCATCATCTCCTCCATCATCTGTTCCAGTTTCTTCATCCTGTCTTCTTCACGTATGCCGATGCCTCCTTCTTGTCTTCCTCTCTTTTCTTCCTGGCTTCCTTCTCCTTTCTCTTCTTTTCCTGTTCCTTTCTTTCCTTCTCCTCTTTGGCTGCTTCGTCTGCTTTCTCTTCTTTCTCCTTCTCTGCTTTGGCTGCTGCTGCTTCAGTCTCCTCCTTTTCCTTTGCCTCTCTTTCTGCTTTTGCCTTGGCTGCTGCTTCTACCTCTCGCCTTCTCTCGGCGGCTGCGGCTGCTTCCTGCCTTGCTGCTTCCTTGTCTCTCTTCTCCTGCTCTTCTGCTGCCGCTTCCATGATCAGCCTCGCTTTGGCAATCTGCTCCTCTGTTGCCTTCTTCTTCTCCTCTGCTGCCGCTTTTGCCTCTTGCTGTTCCTTTGAGATCCTGTCCTGTTCTTCCCAGTATTTGCGATCATCGTCATCTCGAGGTCGAAATCCTGTGCTTTCTGCTCGCTGCTTTGGCTTTCCTCTTCCTTTGCCTGCTTTTGCTCCTTTCTCCTTTCCTTTTGTTCCTGTCTCGTGCTTGTACCTGTAGTCCTTGTCCACGTACTGCTTTTCTCCTGTGACCCTGTGCTCTCTGTAGATGTTGCCGTTCTCGGAGTATTCCTTCCACTCGCTGCTGTAGTCGTAGGGGTACGGAAAGAGTTTCTTTTCCTTCTCTTTCTCCTCAAGCCTTTCCTTGCTCTTGGCGTTGATCTCCTTGATCTTTTGTCTCCTTGCTTCTTCCTTTGCCTCTTCGTCTTGTTCCTCTTCTGCTGTTGCTTCTCCTGTTGCCTCTGCTTCCTTTGCTCCTTCGGGGTACTCCCCGGGATCTCCTCCAACGTAGCTGTCCACGTAGGTCTCGTTCTCGTTCTCGCCGAAGTAGTCCTGACTTTCTTCCTGTTCTTGAAGTCCTTCGAAGTAGCTCCTGTCTGACCAGTTCCTTACATCGTCTTCTCCTTTGTGTTCCTGGGAGGTAGGTGACGTAGCTCTCGAAGGTGCTGTACCTGGTCCGTGTCCTTCACGACGTAGTTCTCCTTCTGCTTCTCTGTCCTTGGCCTCTCTTTCTCTTTGTTCTTCTTCCTGTTCCTCTTCTTGCTCGTAGAAGTCGTTCACGAGCGTCTGTACCTGCTCTTTCAAGCTGTCGCACGTCTCGAAGACGTAAGCCATGCGCTCCTTGGCTTCTGTGCGTTCTCTTTCGTTCTGCTCGGCCATCTCCTGGACCTGAAACTTGACGTCCTGGATTTGTCCCGTCAGGGACTTCACGCAACCAGCCACATGTTCCTGGGATCGACGCAATCGCGTCGACTCTTCTGTGTTCTTCCTGATCGACTCTGCGATCTCGTTCCTTTCTGCGCTGGCTTTCCTGAGTTCTGTGGCGGCTTCCTTTAGCGCTTCAAGTTCCTTGAGAACTTCTCTGTTGCTTCTGGCAGAACTCGCACTGGCTTCCATGGCTGAGGTTCCTTGACCTTCTGCTACTGGCTTGACTATTCCTTGTACGCCTGAGCGTTCCGCGAGTGTTTCGCAGAATTCCTTGAGCTGTGAAAGCATCTCAAAACATGAGGTTTCATGCGCTGTTCCTGCAAACGCTCCTAGCTCACATGCACTCGCGTCACTGCATATGCCGTCCTGTGCACATGCACTTGCAAGACAGAAAACGCGTTCCTGAAACTCTGGCTGAAACTCTTCCTGAAGAAACCAACTTTCAAAACTCTGTTCCTTGCAACTCTGAATCTGAAGACTGTCTGAAATTCCTGAAATCCCTGCAAACAACAAAGCTGCAAACGACAAAGTTCCTGGGCTCTTGATCATCCTTACAACTGCTTTGGCTTGTGTTTGGGCCTTGTGTTCCTTGAGCTCATCTCGGCCTACTGGTTCATTCTCTCCGGTTTGAAAACCTAACCAGTGCAACAACAGTCTAATACGCTTCGCTGAAAGGGGCTTGGTTCCTATGTCGGCTGTGTTTTCCTTGGTTCCTACAGGTGAACACTGATTGTTCCTTGCTTGTGGAGGTCCTGTAGAGAAAGGGTCCTGATCTGGAGGTGCTTCACTCTTCCTACACCTTGCCTTGTAATGATGCCTCTAGCTGCCGAAGAGTCCATGTACAAATGTACCTTGCAAATTTTCCTTGTCAAGAATTCAACTGCTTCCTTCAACAATATAGAATCAGATGCCGCGCTAGCTCCTGCGTAGTACTCTGCTTCACCACTGCTCAAGCTAACTGACTTTTGGTTCCTTGAAAAGGAGTAGATACACTGGCCGTCAAGACAAACAATTCCTGAAGACGTTGAGCGCCTAGTGTCCTTCTTTCCTGCCAATCTGAGTCGCTGTAGACTTCCAAAAAATGATTTTCCTTGGGCTGTGTTCCTGTAAAGTCGTAACTGCCGTTCCTAATGGGTTCATGGAGGTTGCTAAGTCCTCTTGGTGTTTTCCTGTACACAAGATGGTATCCTTCAGTTCTTGCCATATACTGCACAAGATGGACTAAGTGTTTCCAAGAACCATGTGTGGGTTCTGACATCTTGGAGGCTAAACCTCTTACGGCAAACTGCACGTCAGGGCGATCCTGACTGACATACAAGAGTATGCCAACGCATTTCCTGAACGATGCTGCTTGTTCCTGGTTCAAGGTTTGGGTGTTGTCGGCTTCCTGAGACTCTTGGGTGCACGGAGTTGGCTTTGAGGCTTTGCTAGTCAGCTTCAGTTCTTCCTTGAGTTTCACTAGATACTTCGGGTCACTCGTGATGTGAAGCTCATGATTGTGATAGCTGAATTTCCTTTTGAAGAATCTGATGGTTTGATGTGACTCTCCTATTTCAAGTTCCTGTTCTGTCAAGAAGGGGCCTTCAACCTTCAGTTCGTAGGTTTCTCCTAGCTTTCCTAGCTTAGGCTCCAGGTGTCTGGTTTTCCCTGCTGCTTGAATGTCATCCACATGCACAACAAGTATGCTGTTCCTGTCGTCACGAAACAAAGTAGGGCATGCTATGCACCTATCAAAGTTCTGCTCCTTAAGTGTTCCTGCAAAATGATCACTCCAAAGAAGTGCTGCATCTCGCTGTCCTGGAAGTACTCTGAGTAGTAACAAACCTTCGTTCCTACAACCAGGGTCTTGGTCGCCAAACAGATCCACATATTCCTTCGGGAATTGACATGCGCAACGAGTTCTCTGCGGTACCTGTAAGAATGCGTCCTTGACATCGATCGAATACAGGGCATGTTCCTGTTGTAGTCCCAAGATAGGGATAAGTCTCACCAACGATGCGCTTGTAGCTGGGCTAAAAGTGTCGTTCCTGACCTCTACACCTCGAAACTCTCTAGCCACTAACCTAGCTCTACGCATCCACCTGCCATTCCTGAATCTCCAATCGAAAACAAACTTCGTTGTGAGCCACTTTGTTCCTTGGTCTCTTTCTTCTTCTTCTCTCTCTCTCGGCTCTTCTCTCTCAAGCTCTTGCAAGGGTTTCCTTGCCAATGCCTTCATCTCTGTGAGTCTGTTGATCGCATCGCCTCACGGTCTAGTTCCTGCAACTGTGCTTCTGGAACTTCTGGAGGTCCTGAGTCCTCGCTCTTGAAGATGTCTTGCTCTTCATCTTAATCGCCAATGTCTGAGTACGAATCTTCCCAGAAAATGTCTTCTGTACCTGGTTCTGCTTCAGGTAGTTCCTCGTCGTTGTGCTCGTACACTCTTCCTACGTTGAACGGAGGGTACCTTTTCTTTAAAATCGGCGACGTTTGATAGAGGCACTTACTGACGAAACTGTACAGAGTATTCTCGCGGTGAAGTACACAATAAGGATATTAAAAACTTCGCAATCCGATATATTCAAATGAATCCAACTCGATATGTATGTGACTCAATAAAAGGAGTCGAGCTCGAGGCTCAATGGTATTCCCGGACAAATAAGAAGTTGGCAGCAGAGAAGGTCGCGCACTCTTCTTTTTTCTCTTCAGCGATCAGGGGTTTGAACGAATTCTAATTCGGGAACCATAGCATCCGGGCCGCAGCCGATGCGAGGAGCACGGGCCAGAAGCCGCTCACAGTTTGTCCCGAACACACCCCCCCCCACAAATGTCTGGGCTGGGCGGGCGGGGGAAAGTTTTAAAAGCTCAGCTCGAGCAGTCACTTCGTCACAAACAAGAGCGTCATCAGAGATGCGAAGAAGCATGGACATGCGACTAAAATCTGTAAAGCATGCCAAATCCTTCTCTTGAAAAATCCACCCAAAAAGGGGGGGATGAAATAAGTCTCATGAAGTACCGTTGTCAATGTCAAACACGGCCTGCGGCCTGTCACCGATTTCAAAGAAAGAAAAGTCTGCAGGCAGAAAAGTTTCTTCTTTAAAATCGGCGATGTTTGATAGAGGCACTTACTGACGACACTGTACAGAGTATTCTCGCGGTGAAGTACACAATAAGGATATTAAAAACTTCGCA